AGAGCTTTGTATTCATTGGGAAATCATATGTTACCTTGTTAAATTAGTGCCATTCCACCCCTGAAGTGCTGAGGTACATTTGAATGATTCTTGAATTGTTCTGTGTTTTTGTTTAAGGGAGACTTCTGGGAAACTGTTTCATGGCAAGTTTATTATGTCCTTTTTGGCTTGGCTCCTAAATTTACCCAATGTTCAACTTTTCATCATCAGCTTTAAGGCTTTTGTTTTATTTTATTTTGTAGAAATTTTACATATTTGGTGGACTATTTATTTTTGACCAGCATAATAAAAGATCTAATGGGGATATTTTATGCTTGTGATAAAGTCAGCTTATACTTGTTTATTAGTGAGCAATCTTCTTTTTCTATAGCTATGGGAAAGTTAGCCTACCTTTGATAGTTTTAGAGTATAGAAATCTTGTTTTGCTGCAATTCTGTATAAAATTTTATGGCACAGTAGTTTATTTACTTTCTTCTAAACCACTGTTGTTAATTACCTTTAATTTTAAAGATACTTTCTCACTCCTCAATTTTAAGACTATTCTCCTGGCATTTTATTTTACTAAATGAAATATAAGTACCTGTATTTAGAGCCAGCATATATTTCCCATAGGCCATTCTAAAGTAGAGAAACACTTAAATGGATATATTTCATTATTTGTAAATTATACCACAGAGTTTACTAGAAAAACTTACTGAACTACACACTTCATATGTGTGTATTTTACTCTGTGAGTATACCTTAATTTTAAAATCTGTTTTTAGCCCAGCTGGTGTGGCTCAGTGGTTGAGCGTCGACCCATGAACCAGGAGGTCATGATTCGATTCCCAGTCAGGACACATGCTCTGGTTGCGGGCTCGATCCCCAGTGTGGGACGTGCAGCAGGCAGCCAATAGATGTGTCTCTCCCATCCATGTTTCTATCTCCCTCTCCCTTCCTCTCTTTAAACACACACACACACACACACACACACACACACTATTGTGTGAATACCTCTTATTTTCCCTTTATTAAATGACATAGCCAGGTTTTTACTTCCTCTCTCTCTCACCAAAGAAGTGCATATTAATGATCCTTTGGCTGAATCAGTTACACACTGCTATGGATATTTTGACCCTGGTTTACTCAGAGTATTCGGTGGTTTGTCCATATTAAGTATTTCTTCCATCTTCATCTGTTCACACCACTTGGACTGACCTCTGATTGTTTCACCTCACAAGGTACAATTTGTACCTGTTGCTAAATGCTTCAGACTTTGATTTTCATTACTTCAAGTTATTTTTTTTCTGTGCTCTCTAGCATTTTCCTGAAAGCTTAATCATCCATAAAAGATGTGATGTGTGTGTTACTATAGATTCATTTGTTTAATTATAAACCTACCTGAGTTTATAATCTCTCATTGTGCTTTTAAATTATTGGCTTATCCTCTACTATGAGTCAAATATTCCTCCCTGCCATTTTACAGTTTTTAAATAAGTAGAATAGCAGGATGTGGGCATTCTTTTTTCTTTCTTTTTTTTTTTTATACAAGTTAAAAATGCACCTGGCTTAAGAAGTTAAATAGTATCATAATAGGTTTGTGATAAAATCCAGTTATTGGTTTGTCCACGCCTCAAGCCATTACCCCATTCTTTTCCCCCCAAAATTACTATTTTCAACTCTTGAGCTACTGATTCTAGCTTGTATATATTGTATATATCCAAATTTCTAAGGAACATGTTTATCTTTTGATTCATTAATTTAGACCTTTATTAAACTAAATTTCATTTTCTTAAACACCTCCTGCTTTTCCTCTCCTTTGTTTCCTCTCGCCATCTTCCCAATATGATATATTTTTTTGGTAAAAAAACAATATTATTTACATTATTTCTCCCTAGTAGTCACAGATAGTGTTGTACTGTGCTGTTTACTTTTTAAAAAAATTTCCTGTAGTTAATAATTGCCTGTTATTTTCATTTGCATAGTTTTCTTTCTACCTATTGCTAATTCTTCTCATACCTTCTAGTAGCCTTTCAAAACAATTTTCTCAAGGTCATTTAGTGCTGTCCAGTAGAAATACAATACAGCCCTCGTATATAATTTTACCTTTTTAAGTCGCCAGAGTGAAAAAGTTTAAAAGAAGCAGATGAAATTAATAATATGGTTGACTTAACCCAATATGTTCAACACGTTATTTCAACAAATAATATTTAAAATATTTAAGACATTTTACTTTCTTTTTTTTTAGTACTAAGTCATCAATATCCAATGTGTATTTTACACTTTACAGAACCTCTTTTTTCAGACTGGTCACATCTCAAGTGCTCTCAGTAGCCATGTGTGACTTGTGGCTGCTGTATTGGACAGAATAATTTCAGGTGATTGCCAGGTTTCAGGTTTTTTTCTTGCAGATATCCCTACTGCAGACCTCCACTCTCTTTCTCTCTGGGTTGGTTGGACTGTAGGCATGTCACACAGAGCTATCATCTTGAGGCTTTCTTTACTTTTCTTCTCAATTAGATTTCCTCTCCCTAGAGTTCAGGTCTTACCCTCACTTCTCTCTGGTCCTTTTGGTCACAGTTGCTACACGGACAAAGGCATATTGTTGATATATCTATCTCTTGAGTCCTTCTGCTTTATTCTGGCCTGTGTACTTCCTAGGTCTGTCAATGGTTGTCATCCTGGGAGCTACTTCTTTCACAGTTTGGGGGGAATTTGCCTTTGCTTTTGTGTCAGATTTTTTTTCTTGTATATCTTGTATCTTTTTGGTTTATTCTCTCCTCAAGTAGAAGACATGCTCCATTGGATTGCTGAGAAAGGGGAGCATGGTTAGTAAAGTTTTTGAGACCTTGCATATCTGGAAATGTTATTATTGTCCCTCTCACTTGATGATTGTTGGGCTGGATATAGAATTCTAGGTTGGAAATCATTTTTCTTCAGAATTTTGAAGGCATTGCTCCATTGCTGTCTAGCTTTCAGTGTTCTTCTGGCAAAGTCAGAAGCCATCCTGATCACCTTATTTTTTGAAAATTATCTATTTTTTTCTTCCTGGAAACTTATAGAATATTCTCTTTGTCAGCAGGATTCTGGAATTGCAAATTCATGTGCCTTAGTATGGATCTGTTTGTATTATTATGATGAGCACTTAATGAGTCTAGAAGATTTTCTTGAACAATATTTTGATGTTTTCTTTCCTTGTATATTTTTAAAGCTTTCTTTTCTCTGTGGTTTATTAAAACAGGGTGTTTTTTTCCTGGTATGTTTTTTTTTTCCTTGTAAATCTTTTTTCTACTAGAGGCTTTGCTCTTACATCTTGTAACCAGTGGTTGTCTGCACATGATGAAGAGTAGGAGCTTACAAGGCAGATCAAGAACTCTGAGCAGGTGGAAGAGGCTTGTTAGGGCTGAACTGGCCACGAGCCTCTAGGGCAGCGGTTCTCAACCTGTGGGTCGTGACCCCTTTGGGGGTTGAACGACCCTTTCACGGGGTTGCCTAAGACCATCGGAAAACACATATATAATTACATATTTTTTTGTGATTAATCACTATGCTTTAATTATGTTCAATTTGTAACAATGAAATTGGGGGTCACCACAACATGAGGAACTGTATTAAAGGGTCGCTTTTTTCTTTCACAGGGGTCGCCTAAGACCATCGGAAAACACATATATAATTACATATTGTTTTTGTGATTAATCACTATGCTTTAATTATGTTCAATTTGTAACAATGAAATTGGGGGTCACCACAACATGAGGAACTGTATTAAAGGGTCGCAGCATTAGGAAGGTTGAGAACCACTGCTCTAGGGGATTGTCAGTTGCACACCCTGGTATCTTTTGGTCTTTCCTCTTGTCTGCTTGGATCATCTAGAAAGCACTCTGCCTCCTGATTTAAGTTTTTCAGAAAATCTCCAGATGTCTGCAGATGCCTGAGTCAGTAGGCACAGGGAATAGTAGGGGTGGTGGAGATCCTGCTCCACTCCTGACAGATTTCATCCTGCAGTGAATCCCATCCCCCTTTCCAGAGAGGCAGCACTGGCTGAGTCTTTGGAGGATTCTGTGGTGTTAATCAAGGTGGTTCTCTGCTTTTCCCACTGTGGGCTTGCAAGTCCTGCCAGCTACTGATTTCCAGCTTCCAGAATTCTGTTGCTGTTGTCTTCTCTCCTTTTCTTCCCTTGTGGATTTGTCTTTTTTTTTTTTTAATTGGAGTAAAATATACATAAAAAATTTATCACTGTAACCATTTTTAGGTATACAGTTTAGTGGCATTAAGTGCATTCACATTGTTGTGTGGGTTTGTCTTTTAATAATAAAATACAAATTAAAAAGCAAAGATTTTTAATGTGATTGTGGTGGTGTCTTAGGGGGGCAAAATTAGATGTGTGTAATCAGTCTAGCAGGAGGCATAATGCAGGTTTTCTGTTAACCCAGGAACTTCCTCTTTCTGACAGTTGAGTATAGTGGAATCTGTTTACCATCTCCTAGGAAAGCAGTTGGATAATTTATTGGCATAAAGTGCATTTTATCTGCTCTTAACAACTGTAACTTTATAAAAGGTTACAGGTGGACTCCCAGGCTTTATGTTCAAGGCTGTCCAAGGTCTGGCCTACCCACCTGTATGCTCCAGCCATCTGTCATTCTTTCCCACCAGCCTACTGACTGTCCCTTCAGCCCTGGTGTCTTTGCTGTGCTGGGTGTTCCTGAGTGGAAACACACACACACATGCACACACGCACCTTCCTTCTCCCTGCCTTCTTCTGCATGTGTCCAGCTCCCAACCCCACACTGCTCGAACCCCAGCCACAGGGTTGTTCCTCTTCTGTTTTTCTCTCATGACCTTATACATGCCTCTGAATTATCACCTTGAGTTTCCCACACTGCCTGCCTGGCTCCCTTTGATGTCTGTTTGTGCACTGGGTCTTCCTCAGTGCTTGGCACATAGCCCATGCTCAGTTAAATGTCTGCATGAATGCCTGCTGCCAGAATTTCAAAAGAGAACTCTTTCTCCTTTTTTCATAGGATATCCGCCACGAAGCCAGCGACTTCCCATGTAGAGTGGCCAAGCTTCCCAAAAACAAAAACCGAAACAGGTACAGAGATGTCAGTCCCTGTAAGTATTCACATCGCCATTACCGCTCTTACTGCTTCCATTGCTCTTACTGCTTCCATTGCGTGGGGCTCTTCTTCAACTGCAGGGCCTCTCAGTAAGACTCCTTTAGCCCGGGGGTTTGGTAATAAATCAGTAGCCATAGAGGTTTATGACTTGATTGTTTCCTATAACAAAGGCATTAGAGACTTATAGTAATGGTTCATTTTTCCACCATCGTAGAAGGGATAAGGTTTCATTTTTCTGGAAAATTCAGCTAAATTCAGAGCACTATTTTAGCTTTGACTCTTTTTCTGATGAATCATTTTCCTACCAGCTGAAGCAGAGTAGAGCAGGAGAAATATATCCTTTTCTGGATGACTCAGCAACAGTATTATTATTAGACCCCAAGCATTGTATTGAACTGTGGTGATGCCCTATGCAGGCATTCAGAGGTAGGAGCTGCTCACTCCCTCTACTAAAGGCACAAGTCAGCTCTGCTTGTCGAGTCCCACCCCCCTCTGCCACCATTCTATTTCCAGCTGTTTTCTGCCGTTAGCTCTCAGTGTGCCTGCTGGCCTCTGGCAGCCTCTTCTGCCTTCTGGGTACTTGGCTCTCAGTCTACTGATATCTTGAAAGTAAATAAGTCAGTGTGTTAGAATTTGTATAAAGCAAGACACACTGGAACTTTGCCATCTCCTCTAGGCCACAGAAGCCTTTTTGCCTCACCTTCATGGTTTTTAGATATTGTCAATAGGTGAGTTGTAACTGCCGACATCTCCTATGGCAGTATTCTCTGCCAGGGTAGAAGATTCTGTGGGTCATCCCTTAAGCATACTGCCCCTGTCAGCAGTGCTCCCTGCCCTGAATTGAACAGGGACCAGGCTCCTGGGAGGCGAGTTAAAATGGACCTAGGTTGGTACAGAGCTGTCTGTCTCTGATTGCTGCCACAGTTCCCTGCCTGGGTTTCTATCTCAGCCTGCCACTTCCAGCTGTGTGGCTTTGGGCACAATGTTCTCTTCTCTGACCCTCAGTAAAACAGTAGTCATACTGAAGATGAAATAAAGTAGCATCAGCCACTTGGCCTAGTGTCTCACTCAGAAATGTTGGCAGTGGTGGAGATCGTCATTAACTGAATGAAGGCAAATGCCAACAGCATCTAAAGTGTAATTCTAGGGCATCAGGTGACACATGATTGTGCCCCAACACCTGACACTCTTGAGTTAGCTTGTCTAGGCTGTGACACATCAGAGATTATATATATTTTTTAAACTTCCCTGAGTGATTCTGCTGTGAGGTCCTGGCCAGCTGCCTGGACCTTGAAGGAACAGTTAGTGTTTGCATCTTTCAACATTGCCGGGAGATACCCTTTGTCTCTAACTTTTGCTGTACTTTCTCTGAGTTAGTCAATAATGTGTTCAATATTTCTTTTCTCCATCTTTGATCAGTGCTCAACTAAACGGTTTTATGAACCAGTTTTACAGAGAAAGAAAGCCTTTAAAATATTCTTCTAGGGAAACATTCCGAAACTTTTTTATCCCCAATCTCACTTCTCATATTGTTATTTTCTCCCCTACATCCACTCTCCAGTAGAAAAACTAATTTGCTTTTAAGGTTATGGAGGAAATGAGAGAATGATTCAAGGTAGAAGGGGATCTTGTTATCTTCCATCCAGTGAAAAACCAAATGCTCACAGGAGTTGTTTGCCCAAGGTCCCCCAGCGCTGTTTGAACCCGCTCACATAACTCACCAGTGCCAGTCACATAATTTTTCTTCATGACCCACTTACATATTATCAATCAAGCTATTTCAGTTTGTATTAACCTTCCACAATGAGAAAAAGTGTTCCAAATTGCTAATTTTCAAAATCATCTCTTTGGAATCTTTTAGAACAAAAAGCCCCAAACCATTTATCTTCACTAACTTCTTCCCCATTCAGCTGGGGAGAAGATGCTATTTATGGGTGATCACCTGAGTTCATTATCCCTTATGTCAGCGGTTCTCAACCTGTGGGTCGCAACCCCTTTGGGGGTCGAACGACCCTTTCACACGGGTTGCCCAGGACCATCGGAAAACACATATATAATTACGTATTGTTTTTGTGATTAATCACTATGCTTTAATTATGTTCAATTTGTAACAATGAAAATACATCCTGCATATCAGATATTTACATTACAATTCATAACAGTAGCAAAATTACAGTTATGAAGTAGCAACAAAAATAATTTTATGGTTGGGGGTCACCACAACATGAGGAACTGTATTAAAGGGTCGCGGCATTAGAAGGTTGAGAACCACTGCCTTATGTTATATCAGAAATAAAAATCCTCACCTGTTGTTAGCTGCACTAGCAGGAATAGGAAAGTGGCCCTTGGGGAATCATTGTTTCTTTGACAAAGTCATGGTAAAAGGGGGGGGGAAATGCTGTACTTTTTCACTAATCTGGACAGAACTTCCAAATGAGAGTTTATTTTTAAAAGCTATTCTGAAAGTTACATTTAATATACTTTCAGTTTTTTTAATTCAAAATTACTTTATCTAGTAAAACTCTTTTTTAAATGTCTTTGGTCATGACAGATTCTGACTTTGAATGATTTAGAATTACGTACTTAATATATTAAACTTGAACTTGAGTAAAAAAAAAAAAAAACCTGTGTAAAGGGATTCAAGATGTGACTTTTCACACTGTTGTGTACTTAGGTCATTTAATCTTCAAACCTTTAGATGTAGGCTAAGTTGGGGTGTGCTCATAAATTCTACCCTATAAAAGTATATACAGCCCTAGCTGGTTTGGCTAAGTGGATAGAGCATCAGCCTGCAGACTGAATGGTCCCAGGTTCGATTCTGGTCAAGGGCACATATCTGAGTTTTAGGCTCGGGCCCCAGCCCTGGTGGGGTGCATGCAGGAGGCAACTAATCGATGTGTCTCACTCACATCGATGTTTCTCTCTCTGTGTCTCTCCCTTTCTTTCTACTCTCTCTAAAAAATCAATGGAAAAATATCCTCAGGTGAGGATTAACAACAACAAAAAAAGTATATACACGATGGGGCAAAACTAGGTTTATAGTTGTGAGTACACAAAACAGTTCATTCTCGTGTTATTATTTATTGTTGTATTATTTTCCATATGAACCACTGTAAACCTGCTTTTGCCCCATCCTGTATTAGGCATCAGAACAGATTTCTTGACATCTCCTCTCCCCAGTCTACCAAGCTGTGAGGACAGTAATAAGTGTCGCAGGAAGATACGACCTAGGCACAGATTTCCCAAATGGGACGTAATCCATGTTTTAGTGTAGTTTGTCCCTGTTGCTATTTACTATTAGGTTTTCAGACACTTCAGAAACCTTCCTGAAAGTTATCCCCATATTGATGACTGGTTTCCATTTAAAAGGCATTGCCTCAGCCAGTGTGAATGCCCTTCATGCTACCAACTCAACTTCTTTGCTTTCCCTATGGGTGCACTGCCTGTGTAGACACTTTGGTTGTCCAGGATTAACCTCTGAGTTCTGATTTGCCTTTCAGTTGACCATAGTCGGATTAAACTACATCAAGAAGATAACGACTATATCAATGCTAGTTTGATAAAAATGGAAGAAGCGCAGAGAAGTTACATTCTTACCCAGGTAAACCCGGGATTGTCTGAATTTTGTTTAATGGTTTTTGCCTTACTTGATGTCAATTGAAGCGTTTTAGAGTGCTGTTACTACACCTCAAATAAAATCAGCCACATTCTGTAGAAGTTCAGGTTTTAAACCACCCATAAAAGCAACAAGGTAGGAAAAAATCCTCCTTCAGAGATTCTGTTTGGTTGTAACACTAATCTTTCTGAGAAGTATGACATTGCTGGGCTTATGAGAAACAGCATTTAAATGCAGAACTGCCTGTGGTCTGTTCACAGAGGCAGCAGAGCCGTGGCTAGAGAAGGGCCTGTACCTGTATTGATTCCATAAGTGCCTCAGAGCATTGAATGCTTCTCATGGAAGTCTTAGAGGAGTGGTAGTTACTAGGAACTTTTGTCCAGATATCCATTCAGAATTCTGTGGCATGGTCCTCCTTTTTTGGTCCAGAAAAAAACCATTAGAGTATATGAACAAGGATGCAAAATCACTTAAAATTCCCATTGGCTTTGGCATCTTTATGGAAAGGATCATAAAAGTGGTTTAATAATTGATCTTCTTGTGAAACATTTACTGGTATAAGGCCCAAAACAATGGGTTTCTGGGAACGGGGATAAAGGAAATTCTTTTTGATTTTCTCAAGTCTTATTCTGTTATCTGTAAGTTAGTCTAAACTATCTAAGTTTCTCTCTTTTTGTTTTCTTATTCCATATCAGTTTATCAGTCTTGTATATGGCTCTGAGTTGTAGGGTGATTTTGAACATCAGAATTCTGCCTAATATTTGGAAATTAAAATTATGGAGAAGCCAGAAAGCACTATGAACAAAGGGCTGCTTTGGGGGCAGGGAGCTTAGATGAGGGCATATAAGTTGTGGCCCTTCTTCTCTGCCCCTTTTTTGTCCTGTCCCAGTTCCCCATGTCCATGACCATAATCAGCCCAGATGCCTCCCAGTTTTAATGTATGGAACGTCAGCCATGCAGTGTTCACTTCTGGGGGCTATTGAGTAAGTTCTTGGTATATGAGTAGGGGACAGGCCATTACTGGGATGGTTGGGGTGGGCTGGGGTGGGGTGATAAGGAGGAAGATCCTTTGTGGTGTCAAGCTGGTGGGAAGAGGTTGAGGCAAAAGTGGCTTCTTGGGAACTTGTCTTTTCAGAAGAAGTCAAGTCTTACTTCCTGATTTCAGCCATTCAACTTTGTGTAGGGTCAGGAAGCCCAAAGCAAAGATTCATAGGTGTATAGTCAAATGGAATGAAAAAAATCACCATGGAAACTCTTGTTCCCTGTCTTCCCCATCTCTTTGCCCTGATAATTTGCCATTTGGCACATCTGAAGTTCTGTCCATTTGAAGGGTGGCACCACAGATGTATCTAGCTGCTGACATGGTCTCCCTTTGCCCTGGGATTTACAAAAGGGATTAAAGCAGCCTGACCCAAAAAGTTGCACCTCTAGATAGTATGACTGAAACATTTTCCAAACCACAAAACCAAGAAAACCCTGCCCGTTTTTTTAATTTTCATTATTGTTCATTATGCAAATAATACCAGTCTTTTTGAAAATCAGAGGTATAGATGTGTTGTAGAGAATAATGTCAACAGTGCCCACCTTCACCTTCCTCATGAAGTGTTGGCTAAGTTTGGTATGAATCCTTTCAGATCTTCTGGTTTTTTAATTGATTTTAAAGAGGAAGGGAGAGGGGGAGAGAGAGAGAGAGAAATAGAAACATCAATGCTGACAGTCATCAATCAGTTGCCTTATGCAGGCCCCCTACTGGGGATCGAACTCACAACCTAGGCATGTGCCCTGACTGGGAATTGAGCCATGACTTCCTCATTCATGGGTCGATACTCAACCACTGAGCCACACCAGCCAGGCTCCTTTCAGGTCCTATGTTATATTTAATCCCTCAGATCCATTCTAAGCTGGAGTGATGTTGGAGGGTAGGGAAGGCAACAACTGGTAACCAGAGCCAGAGAGCTGCATCTGTGGAAAGCCCAGTGAGGGATCCTCGTGCTCAGGTCAGAGATTCAAAGGCCTGGGTGGCCAGCCAGGAGGCCATGTGATTCAAGGAGCCACTTTTCTGTTAGTTTGGGGGAAAGGGTTACACATGTAATCCCCGTTGTCTGAGTCCTACGGCATGTACGTGGAGTGCAAACTTTTGGGTCAGACAGCAAGTCTGAGATGAGTTCAGAAAAGAAAAGGAGAGCACTAACTGTTTGCCTAGGCAAGGAAAGTGTGGTGAGACTACAGGGGAAAACATGTAAAGAATAAGGAGAAATTGGATGAAAACAAGTAAGAATGGAAAACATTCCAGTGCTGGAGGAGATAGGTCTTACTGAAAACAGACAAACTTGAAGCACTTGTACCCTTGTATTCACTAAACATCTATGCCCTTTGTAGGTGGGCTAGAGTGAGACAGGCCAGCTGCCTGGCAGTCACTCCATCATGACCCTTGGGCCACCTGACTGACCATTTGTGTTGTCCACATCTCTTATGTTCCATGGTCCAAGGATAAAGGCTGTCTATGGTCAGGTTTACCATTATTAGTAGTAATAATAATAGCTAACATCTCATTGGCTGTTTACTGTGTTCCAGGTACTGTGGGAAGACATTGATATATGGAACATAGTTAATTTTCAAACCCCTATGAGTAGATGCTGTGGTTAGTCAACTGAGATAAGTAGAGAGACTGAGACCTGAGAAGTGAAGTGACTTGTCCAAGGTCACACAGATAAGTAATTGGAATTGGAACCAATTGCCGTTGATCACTTCCCCATACCCACTAGTTTTGCTTGATATTCTTCTGCACCTGATAGTTTTGCCTAATAGATGGGTCCTAGTGGAGCCCTTTGACTGACCAGCCTAAACCAGAAAGCAGAATCAGTGTTTTTTTAATATATTTTATTGATTTTTTTACAGAGAGGAAGGGAGAGGGACAGAGTTAGAAACATCGATGAGAGAGAAACATCGATCAGCTGCCTCCTGCACACCCCCTACTGGGGATGTGCCCGCAACCAAGGTACATGCCCTTGACCAGAATCAAACCTGGGACCCTTCAGTCCGCAGGCTGACGCTCTATCCACTGAGCCAAACTGGTTAGGGCAGAATCAGTGTTTTTTTTCTCCCTTGTTGATCAGCCCTGAGATGTGGAAATGACCTTTCACCGTGTGTTAGAATATAGAATTGTGGTTACTGACCACTAGGCAGGGAGAGTTGGGTCTCTGGCCCAGCTTCTGCCCCCACTCTGCCTCAGGGAACTGTTATCTGCTAGTTGCCAATGATGAGCTTGCACTGGAGTATGTTTCTGTATAAATGGCATGCACTTTGTGGGTTGTTTTTTTGCAGGGCCCTTTGCCTAATACCTGTGGTCACTTTTGGGAGATGGTGTGGGAGCAGAAAAGCAGGGGCGTGGTCATGCTCAATAGAGTGATGGAGAAGGGATCGGTAAGTGTGCATTTACCTATTCTTATATCACTGTCTGCCTGTGTCAGTTACAATGTTAACAGTTTCTTTAAGTTTGCTTCTTTGAATTGCTTTTAGATTTCTTTTACATAGTGTCTTTTTTATTTAAAAAAATTAAAGAGGCACTATATAAATACATGTTTATTATAAACAAGTCAGATAAATAAGTGAATTAAAAAGAGAGACAAAGGCAAAATTGCCCTGTCCCCTTCCCACCCGCCATCAGTGAGCTTCTCTCCAGAGTTGTTTTGTTTTTTTGTCGTTGTTAATTCTCAGCTGAGGATATTTTTTCATTGATTTTTAGACAGAGTGGAAGGGAGGAGGAGAGACAGAGAGAGAAACATCGATGTGAGAGAGACACATCAATTGGTTGCCTCCTGCACCAGCCCCTACTAGAGCTGGGGATCCACCCTGCAACCAAGATAAGTGCCCTTGACCAGAATCGAACCCGGGACCCTTCAGTCCGAGGGCTGACACTCTATCTGCTGAGCCACACCAGTTAGGGCTCACCCTCACCTGGGGTTCCTGCGCTGCTGGGGTGCATTATGGAGCTGTGGAACCATAGTTTCGTTTTGAAAGGCCAGTGTCTACTGTGTCTTCACATTAGCTTTTCTGGCTGTGGGAACGGCTGGACTCTGTATTTGCCTCTGTAAAATCCTAGCTGCTTGGCTCCTGGCCACATTCTTCAGTGTGGACACTATCAGCTTATGCATTTACTTCAGGATTTGTGTTACCCTTTCTTCCAAGTTCTTTGCACCTCTCAAAACATCCCTCAGCCTAGTATGTGGACTAAAGGTGTGTGTTTGTTCAGACCATCACCCCCCGTGCATCTGTCCCTTTAGCCATCCTCACCACTCTGCTTTCCAACCTCTCCCCTGTCTGTTCTGACCCTGCATCCAGAATAACCTTTCTAAACCCAGTCTCACCACACTTCTTCCCTCTGAAAACCCTTCTGGGGCTCCTCCTGCCTCCTAGTAATATGTAAGGTGGCTGCAGGATCCAGCGTGATATTGAGTGTGGTTGGGCCTCAGTTAACTTGGACCCCACTCTTCCACCTCTGACTCCAGCCAGAACAAACCTTTTTTTTTCTTCTTTTTAATTTTCTTGCCAGCTTACCATGTTCTCTAGGCTAAGAATCTGAATCGTAGTGCCCACCCTCACCCCACTTCCAGGTGTCCTCAGATTGCTTCCCCTCTGGTCAGCCGTAGCTTGTGATGCCTTCCCTTCCTACATGGCTTATTCTGCAGGATTGCCTGTTAAAAGCCTGTCTCCGTGTAAGACTCCATGCATGCCCAGCACAAGTGTGGTATTCAACATAGCAAACAGATGCCACCTCCCCACTACCCAGGTCCTTCCCTCCTCCCCCAACACCTGGCTCAGCTGTGACTCTCCAGCCTCAGAGGTGAAGCCCCAGGAAAAGGCTAGTTGAGGATTCTTCTATGAACCGGTGCTCAGGAGCAGAGAACTGGGTGTGCTGGGCCTGCCAGGTGCCAGTACTGTGCTCTCCTGGGCGTGGTTAGGCACAGCTCTCCCAGCTATCCCGACCGCCTTGGGACACAGTTGTGGCCAGAAGAACATGAAGGCTCCAAAGAAGCCACTTCTCCAAAGAAAGCACAGTCATGGCCCTAGAGAGTAAAAAGAAGTGACACATCAAAGGAAACACGGCAATGAAAACGGAGGCATTCACCACAAAGCCTCTCTGCTCCCCCCTCAGGAGAAATGGTCTCAGTTACAGCAGATAATCCTCTTACTGCAGCACTTATTTAAAATTGTGTATTTTACCTCTGTCCCCTATTCTCAAAGGAAACTATTTATTTGCTCAATAATAATGAAGCGCTTACCTTTGTGTTGACATTGATGAAATAATGCTTTTGTCATTTTTCCAGTGAAAGTGGTGTTTAATTTTTTCTGCTTCGTTGGCTTGATTAGTAAAATGTGAAGTTGCAAATGTGAAGGAAGCCCCTACCTGTCACCACTCTTGTCAGCAATTTTGAATAAAGAAACAAAACATTAGTTTCCCACAGCACACATTCTCCCCAAGGGAAAGTGAAACATGGTGGCCTTTGCAGGTGTTCAACACAGATCACCATTCGGGGATTTTCAGCCTGGGCCCTGCTTGCGTAGGGCTGCGGCATCCCTGGTCTCCACCCTGTAGGCGCCAGCAGCAACCCTGCCCCCAGATGTGGCAACCAAAAATGTCCCCTGACATTGCTCATTATTCCGTGGGAGGCAGAATTGTCCCTGGTTGACTGTTCTAGATCAGCCGTGGGCAAACTACGGCCCGCAGGCCGGATCTGGCCCGTTTGAAATGAATAAAACTAAAAAAAAAAAAGACCGTACCCTTTTGTGTAATGATGTTTACTTTGAATTTATATTAGTTCACACAAACACTCCATCCATGCTTTTGTTCCGGCCCTCCGGTCCAGTTTAAGAACCCATTGTGGCCCTCGAGTCAAAAAGTTTGCCCACCCCTGTTCTAGATGATGTAAAGGGTGGGAGTTTTAAATCAAGACTCATTGCCCTAGCCAGCTTGGCTCAGTGGATAGAGCGTCGGCCTGCGGACTGAAGGGTCCCAGGTTCGATTCCGGCCAAGGGCACATGCCTGGGTTGCGGGCTCAATCCCCAGTGGGGGTGTGCAGGAGGCAGGCAATCAGTGATTCTCTCTCATCATTGATGTTTCTATCTCTCTCTCCTCCCTTCCTCTCTGAAACCAATAAAGAAAAGAAATATATTTAAAAATAAAAATAAATAAATCAAGACTCATTTATTCAAAAATCATCAAATATGATAGCATTTACTTTAATTTATTTGTTGCTAAAAGTTTGGGTAAAACCTCTTTGTTGTTTGCACACGGTTTGCTTTAACTAACGTTGTCACAGTACAACAAGGAGCAGTGTCCCAGCACTGTAGTTACATGTTTGTCACCAGGCCTTGCTCTTGATTGTCTCCCGCCCATGGTTGACCATAAGTGAACCATAGATCCACTGTAACAACCTTACCCCTTGGATTGCTATGTCGGCCATTACGACAACATGGCTGGTTGGTTTTGTTATAGTTTATTGTGATAACATGACAGTAGTCCCTACTTTCCTTTATAGCTGTTTTCACTCAAGGTTATTTGGGCATGAAAAGCAGCATATGACTTGACATTTTCATTTGGCATCAACAGTATCATCCCATAAGGACTGACTGGCAAAAAGTATAACAAGATGCAACATCTTATTTGCTCAGCTAATCTAATTATAAACTATCTTCACAGCCATGGTAAAAACCAGTTTGCAGAGCATTTCCATTTCATGTATGTTTGTTTTCTGGTTTCCTTCCTTCACCAAATAGTGTAGGATGTTCTCTTCTTATTTTTGGCAGGCCTGCCTGTTACCCTTTTGGGACCCTGTGCTTCCTGGAAAACAGTGTGCAGAAAATGATTGTGTGTGTTAGACTGTGGTCATGCAAATGGCCACATTGATTTGATTTCAGTATTAACTGTAGGCGTGTCAATGTAGAACGTGATATGTATGTAGGATTGGGATTGTTGTTTAGGCAGGGGAAATAAACAAGGTGAGTTTATCTTGTTATTCCAGAAGTATGGCTTATGTCTCTCCTGAAATCCCTACTAAAGGTGCTGTTTGATTTCAAGTTCTTTTGGGGCTCATCCATCTCTCTCATGCTCTGCTTAGTTCTCTGTGTTCATCATTCTGTGGAAAAGCCAACTGGATTGTCACAGGGTCACCCCGATGACGTTCATAGATTTTTCTTCAGGTTGCCCAGCTATTTGTTTTAGGAGGTCCCAAGGGCACTCTCTCTCTTTTTCTCCCTTTCACATACATACACAGCTCACTCACATCTGCCTTCATGGCAGTAACAGCAACTAGGACAATACGGCCATGTTGCTGTTTGGTGCCGATCCAAGGCATGCCTCAGTTGGAATCCTGGTGAATGAAAGACTGCTTTCTAATTAACTCTTCTTTTCAGGTCGTATATTTCTCTTTAATAGGATAACAGGAAGTAGTGAGCTTGTGCTTATTTTTTGTTTTATTTTGTGTTTCTAAAACAAATTTTATACAGGAAATGACAGAGCAGAGTGTGGCATGTTACTGTAGATGCCTAAGAGTTCTCAAAAGTAAACATCGGTTGATTGACACTTAGGGTTGCCAGAATGCCTCAGTTGTAGAGTTCCAGAGCCTTGGTCTTTACCCAGATTACAGAGCTTTCTTAGGCTTAAGTGGGTGCTTGCTGTATGGAGGTGGGATTTAGAAACTCATCTTCCCTGCCCAGGAGACATGAAAACATTGGCCTCTTGGTGATGGGCTATTCTGTGTCTCTGCTCCTTTATCCCATTCTCTCTGCACTTGCCGTGTTGGGTGCTTATGCCAACAAACATGGTTTTGAACTTGCCCAGACAATCGCTTTGTTTCTGGGGTCTTAAGGAATGACAGGTATAATTATTTGACCCGTGGGAATAAATGCATCCTTTAAAGGTCTTCTAAAGTCTTGCTTTCAGCTGCCCCACCTATTTTGGCCAAGCATGGGTCTTGCCTTTCATTAATGTTTCTGTGTCCTGAGAGGTAGAATTGCCTCGATGCTGACAGATTGGCCCCATTCCAGAGGTTAGTTTATCTTTGGCAGCTCATCATCAATGTGGGGGGAGGGTGACAGGGGTGAAGCTGGCCAAGAATTTCAAACAGGCCTGTGTCCAGGCTCTTAGAAAGTCCTATTAGCCTTCTGTTTGGGGACCGTGGAGTTAGATGTCGTGTTGGCATTGCATGCTGGTGTTCTTGATTTGTCTGTTTTTGCTTTGTTTTTTGGTCGTGTGCAGATTTAGCAGAGCAGGATCGATGGGCGTTTGTGGTTCTGTGTTCATCATCCTCAAGAGCCTCCTGGCTCCTCATTGCCCAGGTGATGCCACCGGTTCCCAGGCCTGCTGCCAGAGTCACTGTGGTCTAGGGCCTCCTTTGGCCCCGTCTTCCGCTGCTCCTCTGAGATGGGCTACTTTGTAGTCAGTGCCTAGGAATTCCTAGACATCCTTCCAAAATACTGCTGTCAGAGCCTGCTTCTTCCACCGAGCCTTCTCTGATCTCTTTCCCATAACCTCAGCCAGCCTGAGACATTTACCTCTTCTGAATTCCCAGGGCACATCCATAGCGTTTTCTCCTCAGCACTTCCCTCTGGCCATCTTGTCACTGCTGGGCATGAACAGCCTGTCCTGATGGACAGTTGGCCCTGGAGGGACCCCTCCACTTACTGTGGCATTTCAGACACAACCATCCTTTGCCTCGGAGGAGGTGTTGAGTGGGTGACTGCATGTTGAATTACAAGTGTCTTGAATTTGTACCATTTCCCAAAGAGCTATTTGCACACACTGATACTTCATTCTATGGAAACCATAACATCTTTGAGGTTCCATCATAGACAGCTTAGCCCTCGTCTACCAGCTGTTTTTGACCAGAACAGTCATCAGCAAGCAGAAATGATAGGCACTGGCGCAGAAATTTAGCTCAAGCAAAATATGCCATAAAATGTGAGTCAAATTCTTAAACTCTAAATGAAACCAAATCTTTGGAATTTTACTTGCTTTAAAGAAAAGGTTATTCAAGACCATAAAGTAGTTTCTGAAATTATTAAGCTAAAACATCAATAGTGTTTTTCTGAACTGAAGCAAAGCAGAATGAAAGTGCAGGATGAGGCAGTGGGTGATCCCATGCCTTGGAGGAGCCCCTCTCCAAACCTTTGCTGAATAGTTTTCACGTAATATCAGCCCTTCAATCTTTCAAAGTGTTTCACATGGTCTCTTTTAGCCATGTTTTCAATTAGCCTGTTATTTTCCCCAGGGTAAGGTGTCTGCACTATGCCAATAGCACTGATCAGATTCCTGGCAATCTTTGAAATGGTTACATAAAGTACTTTGTGAGAGACTGAACGTTTTGTGTAATATGGCTTCCCCTCATAGGTGATAGGGAAAGGATCTGACCCATGAAACACCGCACTGTCTGATTACCAGGGAGCTGCTGGCTTGGAAGTCTGTACCCTGCCTGCACAACTAGCCCTGATTAGATCTTCACAGGCCCCTCCCTATCTCCCCAAAGGGAAGGGAGGTTATGCAAATGGTGGCTTCCAAGGTCAGAAAACCCCAGGCCTTTGGATTTTCTTCAAGTTCATGGAAGGTACTTCGAACCTTCTGTCATAGGAAAACAGTCATTTGCTCACAGTAATTCACTGTTATTTTCTCCCCTAGTTAAAATGTGCACAGTACTGGCCACAAAAAGAAGAAAGAGAAATGATCTTTGAAGACACAAATTTGAAATTAACATTGATCTCTGAAGATATTAAGTCATATTACACAGTACGACAACTAGAATTGGAAAACCTGACAGTAAGTATGGCATGTACTTAAGTATTTCACACGGTTACTGGTTGAGATTTATTTTTCTTTGGGTGATAATTACCCAATTCCAGTTTTCCTGGTTTTGTATACCCTGAGCAAGATGTGGTTTTGGCACTGTGGTGAGCAGACCTTACCTGCTTATTTACCAGGTCATCAGAGGTGTCTTGAGTGGCAAGGGAGGGATCTAATATACCTCTTTTCCTATGGAGCTCACTCTCTCTCTCTAAACTGGAACATTAGGTAACACCAGTTCTTAGGAGAGGGGAGTTTCTTATCTAAAACTTATCTGTTCCTACCTTTGCAGCTATAGAGGATTGAAAGGTCAGCCTGCAGGTTAAATACCAGCAGAGCATGCTGCCTTCTTTCATTGTCTGTGGCCTTTCTTCTGAAGAGAGGGGAAAGGGTCCTTCTAGGGCTCAGCCCAGTTTCCTAAGATTCATAGCCAGTGTAAGTTTTCTAGGTGAGGTCTTAGGTTTATTTGTTGTGGGAAGAATTGATAATACTGAAGGCTGGCTATTAGTAAAAGGTGGTGCTGGAACATGGCAAGACACTATGCTAAGAAGCAGCACCACAGAAGGCCCTGCCCCTGAGGATTCTGAATCACTCACCTGGAGCCATCTCTCTGAGGAGCCCATAGCGCCAGGCCTAGAGCATGTGCTCAGGAAGGGTTAGCAGTGCTGTGGGATTGAAGTCACATGGGATCATTCTGGGAGCAGCACAGATGACCAATTAAAGACAAAGTCAGGGTGGGAATCACATGGATTGGGGCTTCCGGGCGGCATTAAAGAGTAAGGATCTGCGTCTGAGTTAACGTTTGCTGCTTAGGTGCTGTGCTCTCCAGTCATCATGACTCCAGCTGCTGAATTTAGTAGTTGAAGTAGGTGGAGAGCATAGCACAGGTCACTGTGAAGTAGAGAACAGGTTAAAATCGCGTGGCTTTTGAGGAATGCAGCAGTGTGGTTTATCTGAGTGCTCTCTCTCTTCTCCCTCTGTGATAGCTCAAGCTGTGAGCCCTGCCCTAGCCATGCACGGAGGCTCAAGGGAGTGATTTATGGAGGGGTTTGATGGAGGATTTTCAGGAGTAATGTTGGCAGCAGGCTGGAATGCGCCTGAAGGATTATGTAGTAGACTTTTTAAAATGCTTTTGAGCGTTTGCAAGCCCGATATATTAAGAGTGACTTCTGGTAAACTCTTGAGAATAGTTCTCCTGCTTGTTGAGGGAAACGGAATTTGGATGGAGCAGAAGAGGTTTGTGCTGTGTTGGTGGTGGAGCAGATACAGCCGCTCAGAGGTCTCAGTGTTAGTTAGGAGGATCTGTTTGCTCTAACAGGCTTTATTTTTTAAAAGTCTCTTCTCGGACATATGTATCTGTTCAAGCACAGATCTAGAATGAATTCCTTGAGAACAAGCTGGGCAGGTGGAGGGAGGGTATAAACAAGAGATAACCCACATCATCTTCAGGATTAAAAGAGATAACTCACCTTTGGCAAACTTTTAAATATATATTAAGTGCTTTTCTTTCCCTAAAAAATAGAAGAGGCATTTCTTTTTTAAGCCAGTAAAATATTAGGAGATCATTTGCTAGGGAGGAAAGAATGGAATTGCTTAGTGTCCTATATAATAAAGAGCTAACATGCTAAATAGACCAGACGGAACTTTCTAGAAAGACCTTCCGTAATGACCAGTGGGCAGGGCCACATTGCACGAATTTCATGCACCAGGCCTCTAGTGATTCTATAAATTACCCTAATGTCATAGGTAGATTTCTCCCAGTTCTATAGAAAGATACCAGTGTATGCAATAGCTGGCGCAGGGTTGAATGTGGGTAGTCTTTTCTGATTTTAGGTCATTGGTGTTTATTGTAGGTCCTTTCATTTGTTTTCATCACACTAGGGTCAGGGAAAGTTGTTATAACTAAGTTGTAAGCTCTGGAAGGGCAAGGGTTGTATCTTTACCTCATGGTGGCTGGCACATGATAGGCATGTTGTGGACATTTGCCAAATGAAGGAAGACAGTGTTAGTAAATGGGTCTCTGGCCTGAAGCCTTTCTCCATCAGCTGCTGTCCAGGTGACCTAGGCACTGCCATGGTCCTTGGCACTGCTTTGTAGGAGACCCTCAAAGCTGGCATGGTTCCTTCACACCTTCTTCCTATGCCCACTTTTGCAAGGATTGAAGGCCTTACTTACCCAGTACCTGGTTCCCATGTACTGTGTGCCTTTAGCTTAGAAAGCTCTTGAGTGCTCTCTTCCCAATCAGAACTGCATTTTGATCATTGCTACTGGAGACCAGGTGTCCATTCTGGGTCTGGACTCTGAGGCTCAGAGGAAGGAGCAGAGCTAGAAGCAGCACCAGAAGTCATTCTTCTTTCTGCTCCAATGGAAGCAGACTGGGCCGGGGGAAAACACTTGGGGACACAGGCCAGGGTCCTCCTTTCAAAAGTTACTGAAACTGGCCCTAGCTGGTTTGGCTCAGTGGATGGAGCATCGGCCTGCGGACTAAAGGGTCCCTCCCAGGGTTGATTCCAGTCAAGGGCACATGCCTGGGTTGCAAGCTCAACCCCCAGTAGGGAGCCTGCAGGAGGCAGCCGATCAGTGATTCTCTCTCATCATTGATGTTTCTATCTCTCTCTTCCTCTCCCTTCCTTTCTGAAATCAATAAAAATATATATATTTTAAAAAGTTACTGAAACTGGCTCTGAACATGGTCTCGAGTCAAGCCAACTTAGATTGAAACTCCTGCTCCTCCACTTAATGGAGGGTTGGCCTCTGAGCCTCAGTCTCCTAATCTGGAAAATGGGAATACATGCCTTGAACCAATGTGCTCAGCACTAAAATGAAGTAAATGCTCAGGATCATCTCTTCAGCTGGGTATTGAGCTACACGTGGCAACCTCCAGTCTTTGGAGGTGAAGTTGGTTGCCTTTTTTTTTCTAAAATGATGATCCTCTGAGATGTCCAGATAGTCTGATAAAGCCCTGAGTTACCTAGAGCTGATGCCACATACACACCGTTTATGTTTTCACTCTTTCATGTGAAACCTTGTGCTGCTTTATGGCATGGTCATCATGGGTGGCAGTGCAGTGTCACTGTGGGGCAGAGAGAAATCAGTTGTAATGAAGGTAGCAGAGGTGAGAGGGATAGTGCAGAAGAGGTTCCATCCTAAAGGAAGTGAAGTCAGAGCAGGAGCAGCCTGTGGTCCAGTGTCAAGCCCAGGGCCCGGCACCTCGGTGCTTGGTATTTGTGACCTGGGGGGCTCATTGTCCTTGGGAGAAAATCTGAGAATTAAAGCTGTTCTTAGAGTGAATGGAGGCACTTCGTGCTTACTTGGAACCTGCGATTTCTGTACAGATAATTCTCTTAGAATCTGCATGAGTATTTTTCTCTTTCAGTCTAAAGAAACTCGAGAGATCCTACATTTCCACTATACCACGTGGCCTGACTTCGGGGTCCCCGAATCGCCAGCCTCATTCCTGAACTTTCTTTTCAAAGTCCGAGAGTCGGGGTCACTCAACCGGGAGCACGGCCCAGTTGTGGTGCACTGCAGCGCCGGCATCGGCAGGTCGGGGACCTTCTGTCTTGCTGACACCTGTCTCTTGCTGGTAAGGAGGCCCTTGAAGAACCCAGGAAAAGAAGGGACCATTTGTAAACTCTCCTCTGGCCTGGCCACAGCTTCTCTGTAATGTCTCTGCAGTCAACAATCTTTGATCTTCCCTTTGTAACAACTTCCCTTCCGTAAAAATAGCTTTACCCCAAATAGCTTGGTTGAGAGAGATATTCTTCATTTTAAAGTGAAATCCGAGAAGATCCAAAGAATCCCGTCTCTCATTCTTTCCCACCTGCTTACATGGTCCCAATGTTGCTGCACTGGCTCCCATTTTCTAGACTCCTGCCTTCCCTGCTATGATTTTTTTCTGAGTGGGCACTGGAGAGTTGGGCTGGCTGAGTTGTGTCTCCTATCTGGCTTTTAGATGGACAAAAGGAAAGACCCTTCTTCTGTTGATATCAAGAAAGTTCTGTTAGAAATGAGGAAGTTTCGGATGGGACTGATCCAGACAGCAGACCAGCTCCGTTTCTCCTACCTAGCTGTGATCGAAGGTGCCAAATTCATCATGGGAGACTCTTCAGTGCAGGTCAGCATTGCTTTTGCTTTCATTGATTTCCAGTTTTTGTCTCTGAAGAAGGGAGCTGTCCGTTGTGAAAATTCACACACTGTCATCTTAAAGTGTATGTCTAGAGACCCGAGAAGCAGAGATAACTCCTCACCAAGCCATCACCTCTGCTCACTAAAAGGGGACAGATTTCCTGCAGAGCAGACAGGCACAAACATTGATGGGGCTCCATTTGCTGCTTTTTCCAGGAGCAATGGAAGGAGCTCTCCCACGAGGACCTGGAGCCCCCACCTGAGCATGTCCCACCCCCTCCCCGACCACCCAAACGAATCCTGGAGCCACACAATGGGAAATGCAAGGAGTTCTTCCCAAACCACCAGTGGGTAAAGGATGAGTCCGAGGAGGATAAAGAAGATGGCCCCATCAAGGAAGAAACCAGAACCCCCTTAAGTGTCCCCTGTAACATGGAAAGGTAATGTGAGATGGTCCTGGCTTATTGGGGGTGAGGAGAAATGACCTTCTGTTTCAGAAACCCTGTGGATGCAGCCTCCTGTTGGCACACAGTGCTTCTATGTCCTTAGGGAATGGAGCCCCTGGACTGTCCTGCTCCTCCCCTGGCTGGAGGAGTCCAGGTACAGAGGCACTGGTTGGCCCTGGGAAGTGACCAACTTCAGTGGGGTTCTAGCACCACCTTGTGGTGCTGGTTGGAATCAGGAGTCCAGCGTGCTGGGCATCCTGCCCAGTGATGACAGGCCCCTCCCCCAGGCTTCCAGCCAGTCCAGAAATGGGATGTCCATGCTTGACCATGTACCTTCAGCCCCCGAAATGGTCTTTTTGGGAACTTAAACTTTTCATGTAATCTTGACCCAAGTGGATTGCCATTTTGCTTCCTTATAGTTCTCTATTTTCTTAATCCTCACCCATTTATTTTTTTTTCATTTATTTTTTTTTTAAAGGGAATGAAAGGGAGGCGGGGGAGAGAGAGAGAGACACATCAATTGGTTGATTCCCATTGTCGCCCCAACTGGGGCCAGGGATTGAACCTGCAGCCACGGTACATGGCCATGACTGGGAATTGAACCTGCGACCCTTTGGTCTGCCGGCTGACATGCTAACTATTGAGCCAGACTGGCAGAACTGCTTCCCTTATAGTTTAACAAAGGTTATCCAGCCCTATTGATGCATGTGAAATACTGATATAACTAGAATATAGCTCTTGGTCTATGATCTAGACCCTGTTGTTGGGAAGGGACAGGAAATTGTAGTGGGAGCCTGTGGTCAGTGATGTGATGGGGTGCACTCAGAGAAGAGGCACTTAGCCTTCCCTGAGTGTCAAGGAAGGCTGCCTGTAAGAGATGGCAAAGTGGAAACTAAGAAGAACGAATGGGAGTTAGCTCCAGCCTGAAACTAGGGAGGCAGTGTCCTTGGTACCTGCTGTTTTGGAGGGTAATTTAAGATGAGTGCACATTTTTACCCAGAATTTGTGTGCTTCTAGAAAATTAGCCTACAGTAGTTCTCAAACAAATGTGCAAAGATTGTATAGGAGGAGGTGTTTGTTGCGGCATCATTTATAATGGGGAGAAACTAGAGATGAGTCAATTATATACCCATGGATTAGGTAACTCCTCTTTCTCCCTTTGTCGGGATGCTCTGCAGCTCTTAAAGAATGGAGCTGGCTGTTCTCATGTGGCTGGACATTGGAGTGGCAGTATCCGAGAAAGCGAGTGACCATGTGTACCCCACAGGGTCCTCTGGTTAAATTGATCATCAATATCTCTCCCAGGCACCAGTTCTGACTCGTGGACCTGAGTCCGCAGGTCCTTCATGCACTGGTCCTTATCACAGAAACACCAGACTGGGTTCTGGAGAGAAACTTGTCCCGTGGGCCTCCCAGAGCAGGTGCCTTGTCATGTGCTGAGTATCGCTGACCTCAGGGACGCTGTGCCCGGTTTCCCAGGGCCTCTGTTGACATTCTCAGGGTGGGCCAGTGTGCTCCGTCCGGGGGCTCACAGAGGGCCAAGGATGAGAGAAACAGGCTGCAAATGACTTGCGTCGCATTTGTGTTCTGTTTATTTGTGGAGAGAGCAGTGCCTTTCACATTCTGTGTATGAAGATGCTATGTAGGGAAATAGGGAATTTGGGAAGCTAAAAGCCAGAGGGTCCAGAAAAAATGGGAGTTGTACCAAGAACATAAGTGCTGCTGGGTACCTGTGGGAGCCCACATGCCCATAGACCTCAGTGCTGCGCCAGGGCCGGGTAGGGATGGCGCTGCAACCAAGTGCTCCTGCAGCCTCCTCCTGTCTCCCGGGAAGGTGGTGCTTCAGGTGGTTTTGTCAGGCACAAGATGCTGCTGGGGTGGGAAGGCCCTGAATGCATGTGTGAGGCCGAACTTCCTGTGGCCAGGGCCTCCTTGATGGAGGCAAGGGTGGAAAAGAGAGGCCTGGAGCGGGAGGGGAGTGGAGAAGAGGGGCCTGGCTTCTCATGGGCCCATGAGCCTCTCCTGACACAGCCCTGGAGCAAGAACACTGCACACTGCCCCCCCCTGGGTCACCATCATGAAGGCAGCTAGATGACTGGCTGCACACAGGACGCCCGGGAAAGGGTCCCCCTGGCAGGATTGGATTAGTGCTTGGGATTCAGGCCTGGGAGAGGTGGGCAGAGGGTCAGTGGGAATGTGGGGGGTCTTCATGTCAGCAGCGACAAAGGCCCTGTGGATCAGCATCTTTCAGGGTGTCCTGAGAGAGTGTGGAAGCATGTGGGCCACACCATTGCCTTCCCTGATCTGAATGGGAACATTCTCCCATACAGCAGACTCCAGGGCAAAGTTAGCACTTGTCTTGATGCCAGTGGCTGTACTTCTCAGACCTTTCCCCACCCTCCATCACTAGGGAGTCCACAGGACTCCTGAGCCCTGGCCTGGCTCTGAGGACCACCCGAACCCCTGGGAGGAGGCAGTGACGAGTGGGCCCTAGACCCATGCCAGCAACACCAAGCTCTGTCTGTATACATGCGACTCACGTTTTCCTAGAATTCCCTCCCCCTCCCCCGTAATAGTGTCTTTGCCATTGTTTCCCCAGAGTGAGTAACCCATCTCTGCCCCTCTCATTCCTCAGCGCGAGTCAAGACACTGAAGTCAGAAGGCGGGTCGTGGGGGCAGGTTCTACCCAGGAGGAGCCGTCGCCACCCGAGGAGGAGCAGGACCAGGCGCTGACTCACTGGAAGCCCTTTCTGGTCAACATGTGCATGGCCACGGTCCTCACGGCTGGCGCGTACCTCTGCTACAGGGTATGTTTTCACTGACGGACGTGCTGGTGAGACCATGTGTACAGAAAGCACTGGCCAACAGCCTGGCGTTAGCATTCAGTGCTGTGGAAGGATCTGAGCCAGTCTCAGAAGAAACAGATCAAAGGTTTTTAAGTCTGGAACTGTGAAGGGCTAACGAGAGAATTGAGGATTGATGCACTGGGGTTTTAAGGAGCCCTGTGGTCCCAAGAATACAAGCGTCTAATCTCAGGGCCTTAACCTATTCAGGAGTAAGTAGAGAAAATGCCAAATACATCTCTTTCTCTCTCTCTCTTTTTTTCTTTTTTTTCTTTTTTTTTTCATTTGTTTTTGGGGAAAAAATAGAATTACAACACATTGTTGTTTTTAACCTTTATAAAAAGCAGCTTTTTGTTATTTCTGGGGGGGGAAAGACTAGGCACTTATGAAACTTTCTTATACCCTTAGCTGGTGTAACCTGATACACAATTTCTATTTGATTTCCCAGGGAAAGACTCCCACACTTTGAGGAATGTAGGGTCCTCTGCAGAAGGGGGTTAAGGTATAGGACGCGGACTTGCTCAGTCACTTCCTCTGCTGTGCGCACTGAGCTGGCCAGGTCCTGCCAGCTTTCCCACTTAAGGAGAAAAACAACAAGAGGCCGTCTGTGGGAATTAAACCTGGCTTGTGCTTTTGCTCAGGGTGTCCCCACTGGTTTTCCCTCATTCGTGTCTCCATTGAACCCTTGTAGCAGCCATCTTGCTCATGTCCTGCCCTCAGCACCCATCCAAAAACGGGGTTCCTTGAGGACCCTGCCTCAGGGTCAGAGGTCACCACAGGGTGGGTGGCCACCGGCTTTTTACCCTGCCATTGAGATCCAGAAGGAGCAGTTTCCACTTGATTTGGACTGTAAATGCCATTTCGGTAGACATCCACACCTGAGAAGTGAGTTGCTGTTAAAGGGGAAGGGAGGATTAGCTTCAAAACTCTGGTCATGGAAATAACCTCACAAGATTTTTATCATTTAAAAATTTTACCTCTTTTCAGGTGACCATCTTTGAGTGCATCAGATGGTTTAGTAACACACAGTTTTTCCTTAGGGATGATTTTTGGAAGGGGTGGGGGCTATTGTAAAAAAATAAATAAATAAAAGCCTCTTTTATTGGAGTGGCCAGGGTTTGGGGGTGGCCAGGTAGTGCCAAGTCTGCAGCTCTGCTGGGCGGGTCTGGGCTCAACTGAAAATGTTTGGTTTCATTCCAGTTCCAGTTCAACAGCAACACATAATCTGACCCACCTCCATCCCACTGCCCGCTCCGCTCACAGAGCCCGCACCTGACTAGCAGGCAACGTGGTAGGTAAGGGCCGACGCACAGCGTGGCCAGTTTGACGGGGCAGATGTTTGCCCTGCGCTGAAACTACCCTCCCCAGCTGTTGGTAGTTTGAAACTACCCCTTTCATTTTACTTCCCCCCCCACCCCTTCTTTATGTACCAAATCCACAACCTGTCTTTTTGAGGAGAGCAGAAGAGGGTCCCATGCTGGTGGCACAGAGGAAGGTGGCCTGTGCAGGGCGGCACACGGCTTTTCCCGGGAGACTGCGGAGACTGCGTGTTGTGAGCCTCTCCACTCCATATTTATTTTTTTATTTTTTCCCCAGAGGCATCCATAGTGCACTAGCATTTTCTTAAACCAATAATGTATTAAAACGTTTTGATGTCAGCCTTGCATGAAAGGCTTTCTCAAAAAGTACAATAATAAACCCTCAGGTAGTGCTGAGAACGTATGACTTTGCCATGAGCCCGCTGTGTCAGAGGAAGGAGGACAGCTGTGAGCAGTGGGTATTTCATGACACTGTGGGTAATGTGAGAGGAGGTTTGGCATTTGTTTATAGAGAGTGGGGTAATATATAACGAACACTTGGATATTTAACATACATGACAGGAGATGACTTTGTCCGGTTATTCCCCGCCCCAGTTTTATCTACTAGAACTTTATTCTCCATCACCGCTTTCCCCGTGGGTATTAGAATGCATGTTCAGTCTTGTGTCCTGATCAAATACCACGTGCTTGAAATACTTAGATCTCTGCTTATAAAGTGCCCCGTGTATAAGTCAGATTTCCCCTTGCATGATCAGATCATTACATGCTGTGGTTCCTAAGACTGTTGCTGAACTATTCGCTGTTCAGCACTGGAGGGATGTTTCCAGTAACAGATACTGGCCTAATTCCTGGCATGAGACTCTGGTGACTTCCTGGTGAGGTCCGGCTGGGTCCCACTGTAACTCAAACATTCCAAGGAGATGGGAAGCCATAGTCACACCTCACGCTCTGGACGTTTAGGCAAGCAGGGTCCCCTGCACACACCTTTGGGATCAGCCTCCACTATCCCAAGTGCACACTCTTCTTGAGAAGACTGTGATTTGGAACCAAGGCAACTGTTGGAAACCACACCTGAAGCAACCTGGATGATGATGGTCCCTTGGAGTCAGCCGGCTGCTGTCTCAGTCGGGAGGGCCTTGCTGACAGAGGCCTGTCTGCCCCTGCCCTTGAACCCTGGGGACTGATGGTGCTCACGACTCTTCTTGTGAGGGGAACTTAAGACCTCCACATTAAGTGGCTTTTTTAACAAGAAAAAAAGGCAGCTGTAGCTCATGAGCTGCTCTTTTGCCAGCATTTTCACATTTTGCCTTTCACGTGTTAGAAGCCCGTGCAGAGAAATTCTGTGGTGGGAACATTTGAGACATCGCCCCGCAGAGCCCTGTGAGGTGTGGATGAGGCCGAGGTGCCAGGCTGTAAGCATTTTGAGTTGGGCTTGTTCGTTTTTGAAGTCCTGTATATGTATGTAGTAGTTTGAGTGTGTATATATAGTAGCATTTCAAAATGGATATAATGGTTTAACCTCCTATCTTTGGAAAACAGATGGCTCTCCATCTTGTTACACGTATGTTAGAGAAGTAGCGAGCTGCTCTGCTATATGCCTTAAACCAATATTTACTCAGCAGGCCATTATTTTTTACAATGGCCATGGAATAAACCATTTTTACAAAAATAAAAGCAAACAAAAAAAGCGAGGTGTTTTGGTATAATACCTTTTCAGGTGTGTGTATACGTGGATGCATGATGGGGTGGGGCGGGGGGCGCGTCTCAGGGTCTTCTGTGATTTCACAGAACTGTCAAACTGTACAGTTTTCCAACTTGCCATATAAAAACGATGGGTTTGCATTTTAGTTGCAACAATAAAATTTTTTTTCCTAAAGAATATCGATTTGGGGTGCTTCCCATTTCTTTGCTTAACTGGGCCTAAACCAGAATGGACAACCCTGCTTTCCATCCCTGCTGACGTGAGGCAGATGCTGTCAAGCAGGGTTACAAGTTTCCACATGTAGGAATCACAAGGCCTCCACGAGAGGCACTGGGGCATTCTCCCTGAGCGGGAGTTCATTAAACACGTCCTGCCTCAGCCCACTTCCTTCAGCGGCACCCACCTTTGGAACATAGGGCCCTTGGATAACTTAACAAACTTGCACAAGTTGTTTGAAAAGCTGTTCAGACCTCAAGAACATGCCTCTTAACCAACTGCCTGTGAGACACAGTGGTTGTTACCGCATCTCAGTACCTCCGTACGGTCATGTTCGATGTAGAATTGACGTGGAAATAGTAAGATGTGCAAAATCATGTAGTCTTCCTTTTTTGTACAAAATAAATGTAAATCTCCCCTAAAGTGATTTTTTTGGCTTTTTGTTTTGAAATAATTTCAGACTTGCAAAATGTTGCAAAGAGAGTACAAAGAATTTTCTTACATCCTTCAAGGCTTTCTGACTGTTTCAAGGCTGGCTGCTGAGTGAACTGTTTATGCTTGGCCTCCTGGCAGGATCCTGGAAGTGGGAAACCAGCACAGTCATGGTCATGTGACCACACAATACCCACTGTGGCGGCCAGGATGATAGTGCCACACCCACGGTCACTTCAGTCTGTTTCACATACCAAAAAATGGCATCTAGGCTTTTATGAAGAGGTGGAATGCCAGTGTGGAAAAAAATAAATTTGCGACTTTGGAACAGAAATCAGATGGGGCCAAAGGCCAGGCAAAGGCCATACCTCATGGTGTCTGGGTAGGAGAGGGCGTCTGGGAGCCTTAAGAGAATCCTCGGGGCACACTGCCTTTCCTATGCCTGCTTGTGTGGGAGAGCCCACTCCACAGTGTCACACTGGAGCAAGCGCACTCGGGGACAGGAGGGCATTCCCCCAGCGGGATGTTTGAAAAGAACCACTATTTACTTTTTTCAGGTAAAATGAAACACCAATAAAAATTGTTCTTTTTAATTGAAATTTCAGAAAGTTCAACATATAAACAAATCAAATAAATACTAAGTTAAATCGAAAAACACAAAATATATATAGGAAACATAAATGAGAATGTTTAAGTTACAGAATTCTCCGATGCCATTGTTGATAGCCACATGGACACCCCAGGTTATCTTGACATCATTAACACAACAGCTCAGGACACATTCGAGTCTTAGACTTAAAAGGAAACTAACTGTGTCTTTAAAGCAACATGCTGTTCAGTGAAATCTCACACCAACTACGGCATCTGAAGCAATTTATTTTATTTAATAGGCCCTAAGTTGACTTGCTTCAGAAGTTGGATTTCACTTTGTTTAGTGAGGTCACAGTAAATGCTTTTACTGATGTGACACTCGAGGCTTCTGCTTTCCTTTGTGCTCTTGAACATGGTGGAAAGAAGGTCCATGGGCAGCGGTCTGTCACCAGGCATTTGGGCCACGGCTCAGGGTAAGAGTTGAATCAGAGCCCCTGGCTCTGTACAGTGGAAATGACTGGACCCACTGCACTCTCCTTATCAAGCTCATAGGCCTGCCGGCCTCCGCAGTCCCAGTATTTGCTGAGCCAGAGGTGCTGAGCCAACTGACTGCAAGGAGACAAGGTCACGTTGGAGCCTTTTATTCCAGGCCTCGACTCCTTCATAGCATGGCTGGCTCTGCGTCCTGGGGAACAAATTCTCAAAGCCAAAAGCTGATAGGTTGGTTGAAGTGGCTCGGCCTTTGAAGTGCTGTACATCCCTTGTGCTCCTATACAAAAGTCCCACTTGTTCCCCGGGGCTTTATAACTGATCTGAGACTCAGAGCAACTCTGGCCAGCTCACACTTCAGGGGCGCACAGCGTGCCCCCATCCTCAGCTCGGCCCATGTAAGGACTGGGCAGCAGCAAAAACAAAGATGCCAGATTTGAGCTTATCCGCTGAGGGTTTTTTTTAAAATACTGTGATTTCAACATCTGCCTCCTGGAAAAAGGCTTCTTCTCTTTGTTCTGAGCAAAGTTTGTCCATTTTCTCAAAAGCGAAGCGTCCTTTTTCACCTGTAATATTAAGATGATTTGTCACTAGATTGTTCCCTGCCTTGGATGGCCTTAGCAGTTACTGACACCTGGGTCTCAGGGGCCAGGGGCATTGGGGTGCACCTAACTGGCCGACTCGTGCCTCGCCCTTATGTCCAAGACAGAGTCTACTGAATCATGTCCCTTGCATCTGCTTTCATTCCCAAGAAACATAAACTGACGTTTGAGGAGGAAATAAAGCATTTCTTGCCACCTTAACCATGAAGGAAACTTGCCTTGGCCAAATACAGTTAAACGGTTGCTAACAATGGCCATCCCATGAGCTAATTTTCCTCTTTTGAGAGCTGGCTGTGGCTGCTCCAGCACAACCTTGCTAAGGACCCGGGGACCCCGCTGCACATAACGATTGATGGTGCACTTTACCGAATGACAGCGTGGCTTCCCGGGCTGCCGCTCGCACAGCCTCCAGGTCAGATTGGCACAGGCCAGCAATCTGATCAATGCTTTCGATGCCCTGCTTAGGAAAAAGAGGATCCATTAGGAGGCTTTTTTATTATTACTGATTTCAGAGAAGAAGGAAGAGGGGGAGAGAGAGAGAAACATCAGTGATGAGAGAGAATCATTGATGGGCTGCCTCCTGCACGCCCCCTACTGGGGATCGAGCCCACAACTTGGGCATGTGCCCTGATCAGGAATCGAACCGTGACCTCCTGGTCAATAGGTCGACACTCAACCACTGAGCCATGCTGGCCAGGCCATTAGGAGACATTTTAGGTAGCAGGTAGAATCCACTTTTAGAAGCCTGCAGGACCAGCCCTAGCATGGTCTGGGGCCCGGTTTTTTTTTCTGAAGGCTCTGGGCTGCTCTTGTGGGCTCAGGTTCATCCAAAGCACCAATGCAAGGGTCTCATTTTTCAGTCCTGACACCTGCCAGCAAATAGGCCACTAGCATTGATGTATGGACAGCTGGCAGGCCCATCTTGAAAATGAGAAGACCTGATGCCCTCTGGACCTTGCTACCTCCTCCCTGGTCTCCCAACCATTCCCTCCAGGTCAGACTGGGAGAGGGGCAGTCAGGGGCCTGGATTCGGGACCCCTGACCCCAGGCTGCTCTCCAGGGCCAAGGAACAGAGTGCACTTCAGCACCCTTTACTGGGAACGCTGACTGGCTATTTGATTATAACCAAACCATTCCAGAGTGAATGGGGTGTTTAATCTGTGCTGGACTATTTTTCACCTAGTAAATTGGCAATTATTTTTTTAAATGAGAATTCTAGATGCAATGAGGTTGAAGCTTTATGCACAAAAATGCTTATAATGACATTATTTATAATAAATGGATAATGAACCTAAATTATCTACAATAAGAGTAGGGGAGTAGGTTAAATTAAAGTGTAACTTTGATAGCTCCTTTATAAAAAATTCCAAGGCATTACCAGTCTAACACAAAAAGTTATTATTTTGTTCACTGTTTTTAAACTATAATATCAATTTTCAGTGCCCACACATGCCCACAAACAAAAAGAAAATATACCAAAATGTCGGTAGTTTCCTCTGTTAGGATGATGGGTAATTTACATATGTTTTACACTCTTTTTCCTCTACAATGAGCTTTTAGACATTTTTAATCAATATTAAAGCAGATGATGCAGGAGTTCAGAAGTGAATTTCTGGAGCCAGCTGCTCTTCATCAGAGGCAAAGCAGATGCTCACGGCTGGTGGGGCTGCCGGCTGCTCCTCTCAGGCCAGCTCTGAAGCTCCTTTTTTGCCAGCAGTGATTTTTATTATTACTATTATCTTTTTGGTCCTGGTGGAAAAGTTTTGAACTAACTTTAACCACAAGCAGGCTTCTCCGTCACCGTGAGGACAGGTTGAACTCACCCGGAGCTGTTTCAGTGCCATGCATGCAGCTTGCTGGAGTTTCGCATCATTCTCGGTCAGGGCGTTGGTGTAGAAAAGCAAAGCCTGGGGAATGAGGCTGCTGTGAATGAAGGGGTGAGGGTGCCGGAAGCACAGTCCACGGTGCCCACGGCTGGTCCCCCAATTGCTGGCAGTAAGTCAAGCACTTACCTTTTTCTAAACAAAAATCAGGCCATGATCCATTAATCTTTGGGCCAGGTGCAAAGTCCCGAGATGTATACTACAGTACTGAGCTTCTCTCTAAAAACACTGGTCTGGTGGCAATCGAGTGCAGAAAGCTCTTTTTGTCTAATGTCTATGAAATGCATTCCCGAACTGCTATCTAGAGGAAATGCTAACTCAGGATCAGATGTTCGGCCGGGACAACAGAACTGAACACACAGACGGAAAAGCATCTCCCCTTCCTCACCCTCTTCCAGTCACAGCTCTGCCCCTGCCCCCTTGGTCACATGACCATGGACAAGTCACTTCCTCTGGAAAATAAAGTTGGCACTTGCTTCACAAAATTGTTGTAAGCACATGGGGATGTGCCTGGCCCTCAGCGAGCCTGAGGCTATAGTAAGGCCCCAATATTGCCCTCCTCGGGGGCTGATATCTTAAATCTAGAATAGTCACAGGTCCAGGAACCTAAAAGGCATAGGGGTCCAATTTCTTGGTTTTCAAAAAGTGGACTGAACACAACCAGCCAGCCACACATTAATTGCAAGTAAATGAGGATGACCACTGGAATTCTAAGAAACATGCCAGTGACATCTCAAAGACCAAATAGATAATGTTCTTTAGAAACACTGAGGTGAGGGAGGTGGGTGGCATGTGGGTCCTCACAGGCCTGGTGCTGCCGATGGCGATGGCGTGAGGAGAGCTGTGTTCATGTTTGGAGCATCCCTAAATCCAAATGCCTTGCGGCAAATGCAGCCCCCGTCACACACACCTTGGTCTTTTCCGAGAGAAAAAGCCTCCCTCCCTCCACCTCCCCACACCTACAGCCAGGAGGCTGCCACCTCCCCTCATACATACCTTTTCCCGAAAGCTCTTGTTCTTGGCTGCGCTGGCCAGAGACGCGCTGGCCGCCCTGCACACCTTGGGAGGCCCGTCCAGCTGAAGCAGGGCCCAGGCCCTTAAGGTCTGGGGCAGGGGCTGGAGCTGGCCCAGCCGCTTCCCCTGCAGCTTCCTGACGGCCTTGGCCTGCCCCGTGCACTGCAGCTCCTCCACGAGGGTTACTGGAAGAGACGGAAAAGTGAGGCCGGGGTTTCCTGTGATGGTGATCGATGTTTCTCTCTCATCCATGTTTCTAACTCTCTATCCCTCTCCCTTCCTTTCTGTAAAAAAATCAATAAAATATATTAAAAGAAAAACAAAAACAAAAACATGATGGTGAGTAGGGATGGAAACACAACCTCAGAATTAAAAGACCTGGGTGTTTGAACAATTAGAGTAACTTGTTCAGCCAAGCTGCTGAAATTGCACAAGGAAACAAAAAAGCAACACCAACTAAAATCAACAGAAAACCGCTCTCCCCTGGGGCAGGGAGCCCGCATTAGCGGCTGGCCTGGGCCGGTGAGGCCTCTGAGCTTTTACTCGGAGCTGACTCAGGTACTGCCTGAAACCTGGATTGTGATGAGAGTCACCCTTTGGGGAAGTAAGCCACCTGCTCACTGTGAAACAGCGAATACCACACTTTCAGAGCAGAAACAAGAGCAGCAGGCCCGCTGCCACCACTTTTGGAGGGCATAATTTACCCCCAAAGAGTCCATATTAGCAGGAGAAAAAAAGAGCTGTGTTGATAGGGGAACAGTATCTGCTCTCTCTTTGTGTGTGGGGTTCCTCCATCCACCTTCTCCTTCTCCCTTCCTTCACCCGATATTTCTTGAGCATCTATTATGTCAGTGGTTCTCAACCTTCTGGCCCTTTAAATACAGTTCCTCATGTTGTGACCCAACCATAAAATTATTTTCGTTGCTACTTCATAACTGTCATGTTGCTACTGTTATGAATCGTCATGTAAATATCTGACATGCAGGATGGTCTTAGGCGACCCCTGTGAAAGGGTCGTTCGACCGCCAAAGGGGTCGCGACCCACAGGTTGAGAACCGTTGGCTTAAAGGCTTTCTGAGGACATATGGGTGGGTGTCCCTCCCTGCACCGCCTGTGCCCGGGGAAGGAGGGGGCTCCAGGTGGGGTCGCACGCAGGCCCGGGCGTGGGTGGTCTTGGGGGCACATCCACATGGCTGGGGCCAGGACTGGGAATATGCAGGCAACTGAGCAGCCCAGGTGGTGGTCAGAGCTGCTGACAGTCGGCCAGCTTCTGGAGTATGAGTGTCACCTCCAGCTGTGAGCAGGAAATGCTGTGCCTTCTGAGCCCACCCTGCGGGGCAGATAAAGGCTTGCCTACCTTCCATGAAGGTTCTTTCTTAACCCTTCAAGGTTCTGGTGGAAGCCATGGACCCTGCCCCCAGGAAAAGGCCCAGCCCACTGACTGCAGGTTCACAGGCCCCTCGTCCTCCCCAGCAGAAGGAGGTGTTTGCAGTCATGCTTGATGCCATGAAGACACTCAGGGGCAGCTAGCGCAGTGGTGAGGCCCGCTGTGGCATCACTGAAGCCCGGAGACGCAGGGCAGCGTCTCGGGGATGGGGAGTTACCTATTTCCAGTTGTCCCGGGTACTTCCCCCTGACTCTGTGCAGGAACGTCTTCTTGAGCTGGTTCAGGAGCGTGGGGGCGGGGCAGGCCAGGACCCCGCCAGGCTCCGTGCACCCTCTCCACAGCCTCAGGCAGCCCTTCCTCCCTGCGGCCTGCGGAAGGACTGAGAGCCCAGGCTCAGACCGACTGCGCGGAAGAGCGAGCGCAGGGCCCAAAGGTTTCCCTCCACTGGGACGTGAGGTCGGGAGCTGAGGGGTGGCATGCAGTGTCCCTTTCCCACACTCCACGGTGACAGAGAGAAGACAAGCAGCTTCAGCTCTCAGCACCTCACCCGGGTCACCACCCACAGTCCTCACAGCAGCCCGGGCGACTCCTGTCACCAGCCTGTCCTCATGGACAAGGGGAGGCCCCGGGGCAGAGGCCCAGCTGGGGTCACAGCTGCTGTTTACGTGAACGCACGCTGTGCGCCTGGAGTGTGTCCTGAGGATTCCTTCACCGACCCATTGCCCAGATAGGGAAGCTGAGGCTCAGAGGCCCAGAGTCACCCAGCTGACCACAGAGCAGGTGCCTCTTTCTCCAAGGCTGTGTGGCCTCCCTTCCCGCCCCCACAGTGTCTCTGAGCCCAGTCCAGCCAGACACCCCGGGCTCCGGTTAACTTTGGACGTCAGGAAGGGAGACGAGCTCGCCTGCCCTCGAAGCCTGTCCCTGTGCGCCATTCACATGAGCAGCCGGTGGTGGGCAGTTACTTACTCTCTTCAACAGATGTCGCCTCTCTGACCTTCTCAAAATCCAGCCTAGACAGAGTCTCCAGAACCTGCTTTTGCTGTGCAGCTTCTTCCAGAAGGCTCTCCTGGACCATCCTCGACAAATTAGGGGAGGCCAGTTTCTGGGAAGCAACCCACGTGCTCCAGGTTAGCACGGACACGCCCTCTGATGTCAGTCGTCACGACCGTGGCCCTCACCGGCCCGGGCCCATCCTTTCTATCCCTGTGGTAGCTCCTTGGCTGTCCCCTGGGAGTGCCCCCTCCACCACAGTGGCTGAGACACAGGGTCCGACTGGAGCTGCCACGGGCGGCCCTTGCCACCAGCAGGGACCAGCCTGCCTGAGAGCAAAGCCAACCCACACAGGAAAGCAGAGCTGAGAGGGAGAGGCCCAGGCTTGATGGCATCTGAAACCCTGGATCCAGCTGGGCCTGAAGCCCACCTCTGGGCTGGTCAATTCTATGAGCCAATGGATTTTCTCTTTGGGTTGAGCCAGTTTGGATTGGAGTTCTGGCTTCTGCGACTGAAGGCGTCCCAGCCACTGCCTTTGAGTCAGGGCTTGGGCTGCGTAAGAACCACATGACTCCCCCAGGCCTGGCCTGATGCTTCCCCAGGGGAACCTTCTCAATCTCAATGGCTCTCAAGGTGCGGGCCTCTGGCCCCTGCACCGTGCTCCCTGCCACCGTCAAGGTCAGCCCTTTGCAGAGAACTCCCAACCCCCGCCCCCCAGGGCCCCCTGGCCAGTCCCTCCCTTTCCACCTCACCCCCCTGGCCCCAGGTCCCTTAGCACCTGCAGCAGAGCCTTGCAGACTTGGAGGTGGACCGTGAGCAGCGTGTCCAGCTCGGGGGCACCAGTCGTGAGCTCCCGGGATGACTCTCTCAGTGATGGTGGTGGGGGCCGGGTCCTGTCCTTTCTGAGTTGAGTGGAGAACTGGGTGACCATCTGGTTGGGTAGAGGGAACCCGCCCTCCCGGGAGAGCTCTGACCAGGGAGACCAGGGTGCTGTGGGAGCTGAGGGTGGACGGCCATGCAGAGGGGTCGGGAGCAGTGACTGCTGCGTGTCAGGTCAAGGGTAGAGGCTCTACTGTGTCCTCCATCATTATTTATTTTTTAAGATTCAAAAGAAACCCATTGCTGGGAACAGAAAGCTCAGGGCTAGGCCAAGCTATTCTCTTCACTCTGGTCCCTGGGGACCTGCTCTGTATCAGGCAGTGGGCATGTGGGGGTGGAAGGGAGGGCACAATAAATCACTAGAATAAATACCAATCGGGCAGTGGGAGACGTAGGCAGGAGGCTGATAGGAAGGAAGGAAGGGGCTAAGGCTGGTCACCTGGTCGGTGCTGGCGGGAGCACTCACCGGGGACCCTGGGGACCCCCAAAAAGGGACAGCTCGTGGGGGGCAAAGTCAGCATTGAGGAAGGCGAAGCTCTCCAGGATGCATTCCATCAGGCTCTCGGCCGAGCTGTGCTCCCGGCGGCCTCCGCGGGGCTGTGGACGGAGCAAGACCTCAGAGCAGCCTTCCCCACTCCCCCCGTCCAGCACCCCCACCTTAACAGCGTCCCCCAAGCGGGCGATGAGCACGGGGCACAGCACTCCCCAAGCAGCCTCCCGAGTTGCATGTGACAAGGTCTGGTGCAAAAGCTCAAGGGAGACAGATCTTAAAAGTCTCAACTGGTCACAGACACCCACGGGGACAGGGCAAGAGACAGGAAGGAGGGAGTGGGGGACCATGCAAAGTAGGAGAGGGGGTGCCCTCCCTGGAGAGGCAAGCTGCTGCTCCAGCTGGCACCGGCCACTTCGGACCCTGGGGCCAGTGTCGCCAGATTGTTCAGTTTCCTAAGGAAAGCTGGAAACCTAGAGTTTGTGGGAGGCTGCCCCGTTTTTAAATATTGACAACTGATTTCAAATTAGTTTTAAAATATGGTGTGAGTCAGGCCAAACGCCTCTTCAGGAGGTTCAACGGTGTCTGCGGATTGCAGGGAGATGTGGAAGGAGAGGAGGCTGGAGGCAGCGCTGACGGAGGGGTGTGTGTCAGGGTGCACTGTCGGAGCGCTGCCCCTGCTCCGTCCTCGGGGCCTCCTGGTGGCAGGCCTAAGCATGCGTGCGTGCGAGTCTCTGTCTCCACGGTGGTCTATAAAGTCTCCGTGACCCCTGGGTTGTGATCTGGAACCATTGCTCGTCGGGGAAAGGCAGAAGCTTCGAGCCTCTGGCCACATTTTCATCAGCGGCCAGTGTGTAACCTTGTTTTATGTGTGTTTCTATTTAAAGACACCTTACTTCATATGCATTGTTTATTCCTAAATGAATTCAAGCCAACAGCATGTAACTCACACCTAACCCATGTATGTTCTCCGGGAGGCACATCACTGCCATCTGCACTTAGGACACTTGCCAGCACTTCAGCCCTGCCCTGGGGGCCTTTAAAACAGATCAGTCACCAAAAAAAGCACAAAAATATAAAAAATGTAGCACTAAATAGACTACAAAGGGGACACACCTACAGTGAGGGAGCTGAAACAAGACGGCAACGTACCTTGTTCAATGAGCACGTCAGTGACTCAAAGTTTCTGTCACTCTGCACCTGACAGAACCATGAACGTGATTCTGGGGCTATAAATACATTTTTGCAAGTAAATGAACTCACAAAAAGAGAATCCATGAATAATGAGTACGTTTGTAAATACACACACATGTACACACACATACATGTGTGTATAATTTCTCTTTGAAAAGTCAACCTAAAAACCATAGCCTGTGGTCATTTTTATTCTTCTAACTTGGTTTGCCAAAAAAAAGAAGAGTTCCTCAAGATGTTGAAAATTATTGCCTGATGGCAGTGTGATTTTAAGATTTTTATGTAAAGTATAATTTTTCAAATTCCAGGTGACAGGCTGCATGCTTCCTGGCAGATTGTTCTACCAAAAAGTGCTGTTAAGAAATTGAAAAAAAAAAAAAAAGCTACTATTCTTTTTCTTTTTTTTTTTTTCTTGAAATCTTCAGGCAGGCCCATAGCAGTGGTAAATAGTGAACATTTTTTTAAGTTACTAGATAGGAAACCCACCTTTCTTTCCCCTGCACTGATTTGTGAAGTTGGGGGTGGGGGGAAGGAATGAAACAGAACAGGTTTTTGTAGGGAGCTGTTAAGCTGTTTCAGTGCCAGTGTGAGTTTTCATAAACTAATTGATGTATAAGTAGGTGCTGGTGTGATACATTTTATTTTACGTACATTTAAGTTTATGTAAAACCCCAAAAATCGTATAATCTGCCCAGGCCAGCACCTCTGAGAGCCACGCAAGAAGGGCCCCTGGCATTGGCCCTGTAGGGAGGTTTCGGGCTGGGGGTGGCTGCTGGGGGCCTTCCACGGTGCCAGCTCTGGCTGTGAGAATGCCCCACGTTTGGGATTTTAGTGTCGAGCGGCTGCCTCACCTGCTCGGGTCAGAAGAGGTGAGATTTGCTGGGTTCTGGCTGGATGTGGAGCAAGTTATTCACTCTGAGCCCCACTTCCTCCTAATCCTCCTTCCAGCCCGATGAGGGCTCTTGTAATCCCCACTTGACAGACGAGCAAACTGAGGCCCCGAGAGGAGACATTGCCTACCCTGGTGGTGCAGAGGTGAGAGCGGGCTGCTGGCCCAGGCCCGGGCGTTACACCCTTGGCAGAGCAGGGCTGCTGCCTCCAAAGAGCGGACATACCTTCAGCCGGTCCCTGAAGCTGAGCACCTGGTACTCCAGCTCCTGGAGCCGGGGCTGGGCGGGGTCTGTGCACCTCAGTAAATCCAGGACCTCCTGCAGGGGCCTCTCGAGGGTCACCCCAGGCCCCTCCACTCTGTCCCCGGATTCTCCTTCATCGTGGTCTGTCCGGCTGCCCGGCATCGTATGGCTGTGGAGTGGGGAGCCCGGTGGCAGGTTGGGGCTCTCTACTCCCAAATCCCTCCAGCCAGGCTGCTCCACAAATGCGCGTCCTGACAGGTGGACCATCTCTGGCAGGAGGCCCAGGGATGGGGAGTCCTCCTGAGCCTCCTCTTCAGTGGACGTGTTGGGGCCAATGGCCAAGGGCAGGAACCCCACGTCCGAGGTGGAGGCTGACGTGCTGGTCTCGGTGTCTCGGGGGTCCTCAGAGCTGAAGGAGTCCATCTCAGGCAGCTCCTGACTCCGGCTGCACAGGCCAGGGCCCCGCAGGTCGCTGTCGGACAGGTAGCTGAGGATGGACGTGGCCCTTGGGCTGCCCAGCAGCAAGGCCTGCTGCGCTGGCTGCTGCAGGACAGACTGGAGAGGGGGACACAAGACCAGCCTCACTGGCCACCCCAGGCACCAAGCGAGGCCCCCAGAGGGGCTCCCCCACCACACACTTGCTCTGCATACCCACGTTCTCCGGATGACTGAGGTCCACCAAGCTGACTCGGAGGTGCCGGTAGCACCCAGCATCCTCTCTGCTCTTAGCCCCATCCTCTCTAACTCACACCTTCCAAGCCGCAGAGGCCTCCTTGCTGTTTCTCACTCTCCAGGTTCATTCACACATTCCCACCTCAGGGCCTTTGCACTGACTGTGCCTCCTGCCAAAGAATGTTCTGCTTTCTGGAGGAAGGAAGGACCTGACATACAATACACCTAAGTGCTCATGGCATAGAAACAACAGCAGCTCCTCATTAAATTAAGCATTTGGTGTTTCACGCCCTGATCTGAGGGCCTCGGAGTCCTGCCTCATTCCTCCCTCACACCTCCAGGCTCCAAAAGCATCACTGGGTTAAAAAGGCTGCTATGGATTAAAAGATAAAGAAAAAGCCTGCATCTGCTCCCAGATGGTATCGAGTGTCTCTAGAAAGGTGTGGAAGAAGTTGACAATGATTCTGAGATCCCTGGAGGGCAGAGGAAAGAGATGTTTTGCTGTATAGTATGTCAAGGTGTTACTTACTGGAAATACATTCAGTTTAAAACAAATAAGTTGGAAGCCAAGGCCATGGCCAGGGTGACGGAACCATCCAGAAAACCTTGTTTAAGGTATCCAGGAGAACCAGCCAAGTCTAGCAGCGCCCCAGAATAAAGGGGCCAGCATCAAGGAAGAAAAAGTACCAAAAAACACCCAGATAACCTACATGGAGAGGTGCCAGGCTGCCCAGCCCAGTCCACATGCTGCCCGGGAAGTCACCCCCACCACCAGTCCCAGCAGGACCTCAGCGGCCCACTCACCAGGTAGTACCTCTCCCGGAAGCTGGGGGTGCTCGGGGGTGTCCAGTTGTACAAGGAGCCCTTCCTGCTGCCCACAGAGAACTTGATTGTGGGGCTGGGTGACACCAGGAAGCTCTCGGTATCAAACGGGCTGGAGGAGAGAGCAGCGGCTAGGGTGTCACTGGTGCCTGGAGAACACTCAGCCCGTCCAGGGCCAGGGGACCGAAGGGGAGATGGAGGCCCTGCCCGGGAGCCTCTCGGTATCAAACGGGCTGGAGGAGAGAGCAGCGGCCAGGGTGTCACTGGTGCCTGGAGGACACTCAAGCCCGTCCAGGGCCAGGGGACCGAAGGGGAAATGGAGGCCCTGCCCGGGAGGCCAGGCGAAGCCCGGGGACTCCAGGTCCACGTTCCCAACCTTCTTAACCGTCTCTCAGACACCCGCCACCCTGCGGGCCCTTAGCCCGATGGCAAGGGGCAGTGACTGGCCACCACTCATGTGAATGGATCCCTCCTCCGTACAGGGCACCATCCCAGAAGGACCTCTGGGTCAGTCCCAGCCACAGGTAAGGCTGGGGCCCCAAGGCCTCGCCGACCCTGCTCCTGGAGCAAGGAGATCTGGGTACAGCCTCCCGGCACGAAGCGACCTGCTCACTCTCATTTGCACAGAGGCCTGGCTAGAGGTGTCTGGGGCCCAGCCCGACCACCAGGGCCCGTGACTCAGGCACTGTGGGCAGGTCCTGGGAGATGCGGGCAGAAATGCCCACGAGTGGATGTGGGGAGCCGCTGTGTTTGGACAGGTTCAAGCCTCGGACTAATGAGAGGGCACAGTCCTCTCATGGCCAGGTGCAAGTCGCAGCTTGGAGGGCAGAGCCCTCCCAGCACAATTATAGCCAACAGCTGTAGCTGTAGGCTTGAACCTATGGTCCGACACGAGGCCCCACGCGCCTGAGTGATGTGGGCTTGACAGAGTTCAGGTGCATGTAATTGAGTAGGATTGAAACCCAGGAGAATGTTTGTAAACATCTTGATCACGCCCTTACTCTGCCTCGTGGTGGCATCTGCTATAAAATAAAGACACGGCTTGTGGGCGTCGTCGCTGTCTCTCAAAGAAGCAGCGTCCCACGGAGACCCAGCTTTCATTCTCTTGTCTGTCTTTTCTAAGCCTTTCAGCCGCCCCCACTCAGGGTCACCCTTGGCCGGGCTGGCGCGGCACAAAGTGGATGCTAGAGTGTGGTCAGGCCACCAGGGGGAGCCAGCGAGACTCATCGGGCTCAGGCTCTGGGTGTGCGTCTCTCCAGGTGGGAATTTGGGGCTGGCCCTGGGGAGGGGCAGCAGGGCCGGGAGCCAGGCTGGCCCCTACTCACTTCCACAGCACCTCCAGCTGCAGCTTGATGGTGCCCAGCTCGGTGATGTCCACCACGACCACCTGCGGCCGGGTCGTGAAGAAGTCGGCGATGTCACACGTCACGGTGCCCACCGCCAGGGAGCTCAGGCCACGCAGCTCTGTCACCTGGGGGTGAGGAGTTGTGGGTGGTGTCTGAGCGGTGCCCCCGAAGGCCCTGGCCCTGCCCCTGCCCCTAGGCCCCACCCACCTTGATCTCCAAGTTCTCGTGCAGGGTGGGGATGAAGGCCTTCTCCTCCTCGTCCCAGGTCTGGCTGTCGTCAGACTCGATTCGGCCCTTCAGCTTCCAGCGCTGGCGGCCCAGGCGCATGAGCACCTGTGGGCGAGGGCCACGAAGGGGGGTGGGTCAGCTGCCCCAGGGTGGATGCCCCCACTTGCCACCTGCATGGGGACCCTCCCTGCCAGGTGGGCCCTGGGACCCCAAGGCCTGGCAGGAACCCGGAGGGTGGCCATACCTCATACTGGTCTCCTGGACAGAGGCGTGCGTAGCCCACCAAGCCTGGAACACAGAGATGGGCTGAGCTCTGTCCTCCTCTGCCCCTGCTCCGTGGGTCACAGCCCCTCCCCCGCCGGAGTCTGGGAATCAGACTCAGAGATGAGCCATCATGATGGACAGTGGACAGGCCTGGACCCTCACATCCAACTCAGAGAAGGGGCGGGACCTGCCTGAGATCACATGTCACAGGAGTGCAAGCCCAGAGCTGGGCAAGGACCCCTGATTCTGACCCACACACACCCCCTTGGTAGAAATCCCAGGGCCCTCAAGAAGCCTGACACCCACTCGAAGGGGCTGCTGCCCACCCCCTCAGCCCTGTTACCTTTCATCCTGATGTGGAACTCGCCCAAGTGGACTTCCAGGGCCCCCTCTATGAGCCACATGTCCTGCAAAGCCCCACAGGATGGCTCATCACCTGCCCCGAGGCTGAGCCGGGGTGGGGGTGAGAGGATTGTGCTGGAGGGGGGCAGAGGTCAGGGCGGAGGGGCACACACAGACCCTGCCAGGCAGAGCTTCCTCAGGGCCCAGGGCACCCCCCTAATGCTGGGCCTGGCCCCCACTGCCCTCTGGCGCCCCTGCTGGCGGCCCACCTCGGTGCACTCCTGCAGGCTCCGGCCCAGCTCCTGCAGGCTCTCTCGGGAGGCGCGGCTGGGGGGGCACCTGGAGAAGGCCTGCTGCATGTTGGAGGCGCCGTCTCGCAGGCGGCACTGGATGCAGTAGCCCTCGTAGAGCTCGTCCACCTGCGGGGGCACAGGGCGGTGGGTGCTGCCCACGCTGAGGGGCAGAGGCCCAGACCTGCCGGTCACTCTCACCCTCTGGGAGAGGCTGCCCCTGAGCGAATGCCCCCACCCAGCCCCGATGGTGGTCACACCCTGCACTTGCCCCCGGCTCCCATAGCTCCCACAGGGACAGGAACCAAGTCTGTCTCATCCACTTGTATCCCAGCCCTCGGCAGCGGCTGGCGTGCGGTCAGCGCACAGTGGAAAGGAGTGCCCTGGACAGGTAACTGCAGCCCTTCCCTCTCCCTGCCCAAGTTTTCAACAGTAAACAGGGAGGTAATATTCCGCCACCCACTGGGCTACTGGACGGGGAGGGGGGGTGTAAACAAGATCATGGAAGAATTCATGGACGTCAGACCCTGCAGGACTCGCTGTGAGACCCTGGGCAATGCTTGTCCCTCTCTGAGCGTCCATCTCCCATCTCTATAGTGGGCGCGTGGTCTCAGCCTCCCAGCCTCTCAGATTGAGCTCCAGGTCCTCCCGGGCCCAGCGCCTGCAGTTCCTGCTCCTCCTCGGCTTCTCCAGCCTCCCAGCACCCAGGGACCCCGCCCCGCTCGGAGGGGCCTCCTGGCTCCTGCTGTCTGCTGGAGGCCCAGCAAGAACAACCACCCAGCCCCACCCTGAGGTACCCGGCACCAGCTGACCTTGCTGATGTGGAATTCCATCTTCCGAATGTGCCTCTCCACAGAGCGCGTTTGCTTCTCCCAGGAAAAGAGAAGGTGCTTTAAAAGCAGCCTGGACCCCCCCGCCAGCTCTCGCCACCCTCCTGCAGGCCCTAACACGGAGAACTGGGCTCCAAGCCAGGCCAGCCCCTCACCACCCTCGAGGAAGGCTCATCGCTGGGCCTCAGTTTCCCCATTTGTAAAATGGGGAGGACCCCAGGTGCTTCTCTAGAGGATGACCATAGGACGGAATCGGGGGAGCAAGGACACTATGCTCACCCAGCCAGGCCTAGCCATAGCCGCCTGTTCACCACATGCTGATGGAGGCAGGTTCACTCACCTTGTCAAGGTCGTAATAGAAAGCCTGTGGGGGAGCAAAGGAGGAGGGGAAGGTGTCAGGGCTCTGAATGCTCCCCCACGATCCATGAGGCTACATCCCGGGGGCGCCTGAGCTCAGAGGACAGAAAGCCAGCAGCCACTCCACCCTCTGAGGCCCGTGGTCCAGGCGGAGGAAGAAGAGGGATTAGACTCATGTGCTTTGGGTGAGGCAGTTCTAAGCCTGGCTCTGTTTCCCAGCTCTGTGTCCCAGGCAAGTTACTCAACCTCTCTGAGCCTCTATTTCCTCACATAAACGGGAAAGCCATAGCTACCCCTCGGCTTGCTAAGAGGAGTAAAAGACGCAGTAAGCACTCAACAAAGTGGGGACGGTGGCGATGTGACTGTTTAAGGGGTAACTTCAGCCACGATCAGAAGAATTGGGAGTGGGGAGAGGCAGCCGGCACCACCGGTTCAGGCCTTAGGAAAAGGCAAACCCAGACGGGTCCATCCACGCCAGGGGCCAGGGTGTCACCAATGAAAGGAATTTGTCACCGGGGTGGGCAAACCTCTGCATCCACGGGAGAGGGTGCGGTGGGTGCTGGGAAGGGCTGGGAACGGGTGGGATCTTGCTAATGCCTCCTTCCTCCATCTGCGTGGCCTGCCCGCCCCCCAAGGGCAAGAGCTGACTGAGCGGCCCATCTTTCCCTCCCCAAAGTGGCTGGCACACTCCCGACCCCAAGGTCTGCTGAGCTGGGGCTGGGATACAGAGGGGCCACTGTTGATGGAAAGGTTCGCCTCCCCTCCTGTTTTCCAACCCCTGCTCTGCTCTGACCTGTGCAGGAGGGAGGCTGGAAAGCCGCTGGCAGGTCGGAGGAGCCCACAGGCAGCGAGGCCTCTCGGCTTTTGTTTCTAATCCCATTAGGATAGAAGTGGGGGGTGGGGACTTCTCAAGACCGGAAAGAAAGAGCCTCCCGCTGGGAGGATGGCGGTCCTGAGGGGTGGAGCCTGACAGTGTGAGCTGGTGTCGCTCAGTGGTTAGAGCGCTGGCCTTCGAACCCAAGGGTTGGGTTCAATTCAGGATGCCAGTCAAGGGCATGTACCTAGGTTGCAGGTTTCTCGTCTCAGTTGGGGTGTGTGTGGGAAGCAACCAATTGATGTGGCTCTCTCACATCGATGTTTCTCTCTCTCCCTCCCTCCCTCTCCCTCCTTCCCTTCTACTCTCTCTAAAGTCAATGGAAAAAATATCCTCCAGTGAGAAATAAAATATCGGACCAGTGACATTTATAGTTCTAATAAGCAATGAATAATTTTTTAAAGTATAAGTATGTCCCAAAGATGCACAGGACATAATTACACTGAACAATTATTTGATGATTATCTAAAAATCCTATTTAACTGGGATACTATTTTTTTCTCTTGAGTGTGGGGTGTGTGTGTGTGTTTCTAAATCTGACTCTGCTAAGGGGGAAAATGGTAGCAAAAGCCCAGAGCAGATGAGTCTTGGGCTAGAAGGCCCCGGGGCAGCCTCTAGGCCGCAGCCCTCAAGGTGGGCGAAACAACAGAGGCGCTGGACAGGAGGACAGCACCAGGGCCTGTGACAGACCCTCGATTCGATGCCCGACCCAATTTCTTGGCATCACATAAGCCACCCTGATTGCAGGGCGCCCAGATGGCCCCGGGCTGTAAGATAGGGCCTCCCAGACCCACACCCCTCACACCCACCTGCCTTCGTTACTGCTAGAACCAAAGAGGGAATGCAGGTGGGGCCTCCAATGCGTGAACTCTGCACACTGTTGGGCAGGGAGGGGGCGCTTCCCACCAGCCCCTGGGGTTAAATTCATCCCAATGTAGAGCAAGTCCATTCCTCAGGGCTCTGAATTCCCGAGACTTGCACCCGTGGTGCAGGCCAGGGGGTGAGGGAGGGCCCATCTTTGAAGCCCAGCCAAGGCTGCCCCAGTGGGAAGGCAGGGAGGGGTCTCACCAGCCGGGAATTCCTGTGGGTGTCCTTGTGGCGTCCTGACAGGTAATCCAGCTCGGCCTGCTGGACGCACAGGTGCTCCCTGCAAGGGAACAAGGGAAAGGAGTTGGAAAAGGAACAAGAAGAGAAAGAAAAACAGGCCCATGACCGGTGTCCCGCAGTGCAGGCAGCCACAGCTGCCATGTGGAACAGCTGTGGTTCTCTCTGCCGGCTCAGAGGGCAGAGGGCAGAGGGCAGAGCCGCCCAACCCACCCGGAAGCCTGGCTCCACCCGCTGGGCCTCCAGATCCCACACACAGTGGACCACGTGCCCGGCACTGCGAAATATGGGGAGCATCTCTGTTAATCCCCCAAACAACCCCACAAGCAGGTTCTGCTCTGGTTAAACCCATCTTAGAGATGGGCAAACTGACCCTCAGGGACTGCAGGTAACCCGGCGAGGGTCACACCGCAGGGAAAAGGCAGCACCCAGGTCGGGAATGAGGCATCTCTCTGGAGGACAGTATCTCCCCCCAGCCCCAGGGAGGTCAGCGAGAGCACGCCTCCCTCACTGACAAGGGCGGTCGCCCTGCTGTCTGCACGCCCAGGCCAAGCCCCAGAGCGGGGCCTGGGAACCCACTCTGGAAAGCACAGAGAAAGCCACGGGCTGGGAGGGATCATCTCATGTGTTTTCCGGTCAAAGGGTCTGGACAGGAAACCTGATGTTTGGCCTTCGGAGCTGGGGTGGGGCTCCATCATAGCGTCGCCGGTGACACCACTATCTACAGGCGCGGCTCACTCAGAGGCTGGGCTCCTCCGGAAAACGGGATCGATCCCGCCCAGACAATCTCACACGGGTGGCCCTGGGAACCACCAGAAGCTGCCCTGGAAGGTGAGCACCTTGGAGACAGGCCCCCCCTCCGCCCCCCACAGCACAAACCCAGCTCCCACTGCACCACACCAGCACTGGTGCATCCTGGGAGGAGGGCAAGGGAGGCCTCCTGGGTGGCGTTGCCCTGGAGGCCCACTCCCTGCTTCCTGGCCCTGGGATCCTGGAAACGTTGCTTCCCATCTAAACGAATAACCAGGAGCCCCCTCTGTGGCCTCTTACAGACAAGACCTGACCACGTCCCCCAGGGAGAGGCAGAGAGGAGCAAGCAGGCCAAAGGCCAAAGAGCCCACTGTGTAAAGGCCACAAACAGCCCGTCCTTACTTGAGGCCTCTCCTCAGCGCTTCGAAGATCTTCCTCACTTGCTGTGTCTTGGCGTCCGGGCAAACAGACCCCTTCCGCAGCGTGCCGTACATCTTGGAGGGTTTGGCAGGTAGGCGAGACCTCACCGAGTTCCTTTGGATGGACTTTCTGTGAGTTTGGGGGGGGGGGGGGGGGGGCGGTGTCAGAGCAGGAGTCTGGACAAAGTCTTTCCCAGGGCAGGCACTTGGGGAACAGCGGCCAGAGCTGAGTCCCCTCCATTGCCACCAAGCTGCATGGTCTCAGGAAAGTTGCTAAGACTCTCTGGGCCTAAGTGTCCTCATCTATAAAATAAGGTTTTGGATTTTAGGATTAAAAGAATACTACTACTAATAATAATAACCTGATAGGAGAAATTAACTTACAATGAGAAATGCAACCAAGCAGCCCAAACGCAGTGCTCTCTGTTCAGCATGCTTGGTCAATGCAGGCAAAGCAACATTGAAGGCCAATTCATAGTCCTGTGGTGTACCCATGGCTTTGCCCACCCAGCATCCATCCACCTGCCTCTGTGAATAGCACCTCGATTTTCCTTTGGGTAACCTCCCCAGCCCTGCTCTTTATACATGTCGTTTGGAAGGAGGTGGCCTGACAAATCAATACACACATATGCATACACACACATGCACATGAACACGCATACATGGGCATTTGGAGACAAGCCCATGCCCTACGCCTGGGTTAGCCAATATATTCCTCTCCCCTGGCCCAGGGAGAGGCATGGGAACCAAGTCTGGCCAATGACTCTGTGGCAGAGCTGGGACCCAAACCCAAATGCATGCAGAGCCTCAGCCTGGGCTCTGACCCACACAGCTGGGGGTGGGACACAGGATTCTCAGGGTCCTCAGAATCCCCAGGAGGACTGAGGCTCAGGCTGCTGACCGCCCTCACCCCTCCACCCCACCAGAGTTTCGGGTTTTACTGTCTGGGCCTGAGGATTTGCATTTTCATGTGTTTCTGATGCTGCCGGCCGGTCCAGGGACCACACTTTGAGAAGCACAGTCTTAGGGTTTAATGGGGGCGGGGGGGGGGCGGTGTCAGAGCAGGAGTCTGGACAAAGTCTTTCCCAGGGCAGGCACTTGGGGAACAGCGGCCAGAGCTGAGTCCCCTCCATTGCCACCAAGCTGCATGGTCTCAGGAAAGTTGCTAAGACTCTCTGGGCCTAAGTGTCCTCATCTATAAAATAAGGTTTTGGATTTTAGGATTAAAAGAATACTACTACTAATAATAATAACCTGATAGGAGAAATTAACCTTACAATGAGAAATACAACTAAGCAGCCCAAACTCCAGTGCTCTCTGTTCAGCATGCTTAGTCAATGCAGACAAAGCCACGTTGAAGGCCAATTCATAGTCCTGTGGTGCACCCATGGGTGGGCACCTATTGGCTTTGCCTGCCCAGCATCCATCACCTCCCTCTGTGAATAGCACCTCGATTTTCCTTTGGGTAACCTCCCCAGCCCTGCTCTTTATACATGTCGTTTGGAAGGAGGTGGCCTGACAAATCAATACACACATATGCATACACACACATGCACATGAACACGCATACATGGGCATTTGGAGACAAGCCCATGCCCTACGCCTGGGTTAGCCAATATATTCCTCTCCCCTGGCCCAGGGAGAGGCATGGGAACCAAGTCTGGCCAATGACTCTGTGGCAGAGCTGGGACCCAAACCCAAATGCATGCAGAGCCTCAGCCTGGGCTCTGACCCACACAGCTGGGGGTGGGACACAGGATTCTCAGGGTCCTCAGAATCCCCAGGAGGACTGAGGCTCAGGCTGCTGACCGCCCTCACCCCTCCACCCCACCAGAGTTTCGGGTTTTACTGTCTGGGCCTGAGGATTTGCATTTTCATGTGTTTCTGATGCTGCCGGCCGGTCCAGGGACCACACTTTGAGAAGCACAGTCTTAGGGTTTTCACTGTTTCTGCTTCACTCGGGAGACATCCTTGCTAGAAACCCAGCTCCATGTCTCCCTGGGAGCCTTCACCGTCTGCTACATTTTTAAGTCTAAAATCAGGGGCTCAGGACTAGTTCATTCATTCAAACACTCACAGAGCAGGGCTTTCCCCCGTGAGGTGCCAGGTCCCACCCTCGGGGCTCACAGTCCATGGGAGACGGGGATGGAGGTCTGGAGAGCCAGGCGGGGGTGGGGGTGGGGGCAAGAGGAAGACAGCTCAGGCTCCTTCACCTGGCCTAAGAGAAGGGCCACTGGGCCCCGCCATGCCCTGGTCCCCCAGAGACTCAGCAGGCGACCGGGCTGTATTTCCAGCCCAGCCAGATGCTGCACATTCCACGCACAGACGCCGACACCTGCTGTTGACTCAACAGAGAGCAGCTGTCCTGCCACCCTGCTGACAGGGACCAAGCCCCAAGCCCCATGGTTTCCCTCCGGCTGCATCTACACACCAACATGCCAGAGATACAGACCCCGGGCCCTGCCCAGCACGCTGAGACCTGGTCTCAGAGGATGCTACAGCAAGGAGGGGTCTGGAATCCCACCCTGGACCCTCAGGGGCCTTGCCAAGCTGGTAGGACCCATGCCCTTGGCCAGCTGCCCATATTCAATCCCGGCCCCAGAGGTCACAGGTATTGAACTAGAGCCGCAGTTTCCCCATCTGTCAAAGGGGGACAATAAGAGTTCTTGCCCCACCGAGTTATGAGGTAGCCATTCATTCAACAAATATTTAAATAGGCACCTATTGCGTACCAGACACCACTTTAGGGAGGTACAACAGTGACCAACACAGGCAAACCCCTTCCCCTGTGAGCTGCTGAGCCAGCTGGGGGACACGGTGGGAAGTGGTAACAAGGGCAGGCTCCAGAGACACCCCCCCCCCCCCCACTTTCAAGCTGTGTGGCCTTGGGTAGGTTATTGAACCTCTCTGTGCCTCAGTTTTCTCAGCTATAAAATGGGAACCAGAGGAAGGGTTGCCATGAGAGTTGCATGAGTTAATAAGTGTAAAGGGCTTCAAGCAGTGCCCGGCAAGAAGTGCTATGTATGTGTCCAAGTTAACTAAGATCATTTTTAAAATCATGTGTCAGAGAGTGCTTAGTGCCAAGGGGAAGAATAAAGGCAGGAGAATGAGTTTAAGTGGGACAAGCCGGGAAGGCCCCTCCAATCAGGTGATGTCGGAGTGAGGTTCGTGCACAGAGCACTGGGCACAAAGCCTGTTACATTAGTGCTCATCCCTGTCCCTGCTGTGGCCGGTATCCATCTGTGACAAGTGACACTTCCCAAAGGCCAAGAAGGGGCTGTGCACCCTCCTCCCTACCCTCCCTGAGGCCACATCACCCACCTCTTGGAACAGACCCTCCACAAAGTTGCCATCTCCAGGCCGTAGAGACGGGCAGGGCGGCAGCCTCCAGAGAGGCGGGTTCCGGACAGGCTAGGGTCCCCGCAGGTGGCAGGCAGCAGGTGGGCCAGCAGCTTTGAGGTGGGAGCCAAGCTCACCTGCCAGCTCCCAGGGGCCCACCGTCCCTGGCAGGTGTGCGCCCTCCGCCAGGCCCCCCTTCCATCTACCTGGCGACCTCCTCACCCTGGCTGCTGTGCTGTGCCTGGAAGCACCCGCTCCCAGGGAAGCTCTGAGCCCAGGGCTCCGAGGGCTGGCCCAGCCGGGAAGGCGATGCGTGTGCAGCCTCTGGATGGCGAAATTGGGCTGCATGTCTGGCCGGTGTCACAACGGCTGGAGCAGGGAGCGCCCTCTGGGGCGGATGTTTCGCCAGCTCTGGGCGGACTCAGTAAATATTAAACAGCCCCTGGCAAGCCAGACAAGATTCCAGACGGGCACATGCAACACACTGCCCCAACCCTCACGTGAGGCCAGGGGCAGTCCTGCCTGCTGTCGTGAGGAAATGCTTCGTCGGAGGCCCTGGTGCGTGGCTGCTACAGAGGCAGGCTCTGCAGGCAGGCAGGGCCTAAGCCGCACCTCAATGTGACAACAGTGTCAGCTACCTTTTCTCCCAGGTCCAGCGGTGCCAGATGGGCGGGGATGATGCCAAACATGCGCTTGGTGCTCGCAAAGGTCAGACTGCTCTCGGGCTTCACGTGTACTAGCCCGTTTCTCCTGACACTCTCTGAGGTCCCCAAAGTCTGTGGCTCCACACGCACAGGACAGTGTGAGCGCCTCCGCTGTCCTCTCTCCAGCTCCGCTCCTTGAAAATCACGGGCTGCTGCTGAGCTATCCCAGCCACACGTCCCAGCCGTCCCAACGGAGGAATTCCCAGGTTGGTGAGGGCGTTGCAGGGGCTCCTGGCTCAGGAGGGTACCTGCCTGACAGCCTAGAGGAGGGGAGACCTGGCTGCGGAGGGGGAGGGGTAAGAGCAGCCCTGCCTCTCGGTCAGGGCAGAATGGGACAGTGTCAGGGCCTGGCCTCCTCTTGTCCCCCCACCTTATTATATAAGGCTTCGTTATAGCAACCATTCACACCTTAGTGTAAAGTTCCCCCACCAGATTACTTCTTCAAGTGAACTCTTTGATTGTGGGGGACCAGAGTCAAAGGGGTTTCAGGTGCCAGAGCAGGGGTGGGGGTGGGGGACACCTACCCACCCCATCTAAGTGGAGCCCTGCTCGCCTGCCCTGCGTCTAAGGTTCCTTTACCCGACCTGTGCCAGCGCTCAGGGCCTTGGCGATGTGGCTGTGTTTCAGCCGGTTGAATTACCTGGGAAATAAGGCCAGAGGTGAGGCCTGAAACCTGGTACAGGCTCTCCTGCCCTGGAGCCAAGGGTCCAGGCCCCTGGGAGCTGGACAGAGATAGGAAGTTAAAAATAGACACACTTCTTCCCTATCATCGTGGGCAGCTTCTTCCTCACCCAGGGACAGGGGGACTGCAGAGGCTGAGGCCAGATGGTGGCTACTCAGGGACCGCAGAGCTCACCGAGGCCAGGCATCCTCCAGAATTCCCAAGGGGGGGACCCCAGGAGGAGGAGCCCCCCAAGATAGTTACAGCCAGCAGGGCCCTCCTTCTTGGACTAGGGTGCAGACTTGGCAGGACCTGGGTCTTACCCTTGCTGCTGACCGCTGAGCCCTAGTGTCTGGGGTTGGATCCCCTCTGTTCTCTCCCTCCCAGAGGGCTGACCCCAGGAACCCAGGAGGGGTCAGCAAGAGGCTGGCGTTGGCCTGGGGGGACAGTTCCCATGGATGCCGGAAGTCCCGGGGCCCCCACAGGCCTGACGGGAGGAGAGTTGCAGGCAGGACTGGCTACAGAATTTGTGAGGCCCAGGGCAAAGGAAAACGCACAGTCCTTTGTTCAACACAAGAATTTCTAGATCAGTGATGGCGAACCTTTTGAGCTCGGCGTGTCAGCATTTTGAAAAACCCTAACTTAACTCTGGTGCCGTGTCACATATAGAAATTTTTTGATATTTGCAACCATAGTAAAACAAAGATTTATATTTTTGATGTTTATTTTATATATTTAAATGCCATTTAACAAAGAAAAATCAACCAAAAAAAATGAGTTCACGTGTCACCTCTGACACGCGTGTCATAGGTTCGCCATCACTGTTCTAGATGGTGACAGCAGAGGGTTAAATCTATTCGAGGGGCCCTGAGCCAGTCTGCAGGCCCCTCCCGCTGTCCCCACAGTGCCTCTGGGTGATCACAGGAAGGCGACCTCCGGGTGGACCAGCTCCGTGCCAGGGCACATAGCTTGGGAGGGTCGCACGGGCTGGAGGCCCCCTTGGCCGGGGGACCTGCACACTGTCCTTAGCAGCCCTAACTACAGACCCCATGGTCTGGGGGACCCAGATGAAACCCAGGAAGAGGCAGCTCAGATATGGCTCATTCAGTCAAGAAACAGCATCATTCCCTGGTCAGTTTACGCTTAGCCTTTTAGCAGCATTTATGGAGCGCCTACTGTATGCCTTCCTCACAGTGGCATCCACACTTGCTCCTCTCAGAGACTGGGGTCAGAGGCACTAGGCGTTCATCCCTCTGGGACTTTGGCCAAATTTCTTCCCATTTTGGGCCTCGGCTTCAGCCCTTCAGTGGAGCCCTTCACACTGTGAATGTCCTCATGGTGGCCCAGGAGGCTTGCAGGGTCCTCCTCCGTCTGTCACCCACACACCAGCCACAAGCCTGCGTTCTGTCACTGAACACTCATTCCCACCCCAGGGCCTTTGCACTTGCTCTTCCCTCCACCTGAAAGGCTTCCCCACCCCTCACCCCATCCGCACGTGACCAGCTCTTTCTCTTCTCTCTGGCCTTCACTCAAACAGGGTGGGCCCTTCTCTGATGCTCTAATTCCTCCGCAGCCCTCGCCACAGCTGGGTCTCTCTCAGTGATTGTTGGCTTGTTGTTTGCTGCCCTGGAGGAGGGCGGGGCCTGGGTCTCTTCCCAGAGCCTGGGGCGGGGGCTGGCCAGAGTGGGTGCTCCATACATGTGTGTGGAATGAATTAGGGATTCCTAAGGGTGCTTCCAGCTGGGACATGCCAGGATTTCATTTCAACCCTGAGAGGAACTCCTTCCAGGCACAGCTCGGAGCTGAGCAGCCTGGGGACAAGGCGAGTGAGCTGGGGGGCCTGACTGTGGGACCGGGCATCACGGGGCTCTAATGTGCACCTGTGGGAGGGTGAGGGCCAGGCCTGGGGCTCAGGGGGTCCCCAGGACATGGCATTGAAGCCAAGGCCCGAAGAAGAGAAGCAGGAGCCGGCCAGGTGACAGTTGGGAAGAGTGCCAGGCACGGGCACAGCCTGTGCAGAGGCCGGAGTGGGGAGAGGTGATGTGGCTGCACGCAGAGCCCTGGGGCCTGGCCGGTGTGGGCTGATGGCCGTGGCCTCCAGGAGCAGGAACACACCTTCCTCCTGGGGTCACCTCCTGGGGAGACCAGGGCAGAGCCACCAAGATCTCACTCCAGAGGGTCAGCGCCGCCCAGGCCCCTCTCCACAGAGGCTGCTCCTCTGCCTTTGAAAACTCCCCAGGGCCCCTGCTGTGTGCCCGCGTGGCCTTGTGTGCTGGCTGCTTGCCATGGGCCACCTCACTGTGCCCTCATGACAGCCGTGAGGAAGGGACACGAGGAAACCGAGACTCAGAGAGGTGAACTCACCTGCCCAGGTCATAGAGCCGGGGTGAGTGGCCCCATTTTCCATTTTTCCAAACAGGAAGAACATTCCATCTTAACCCCACCCCCCAGGAGCCTCAGTTCCAAGCCCGGGTCAATCTGGCTGTGTGACCTTGGTGAGCAGCTCCACCTCTCTGAGCCTCAGTTTCCTGCTCTGCCAAGTGGGCTGATAGGTTTCTCCCAACACCAAGACACACACACAGACACACACACACACACACACACACACAGACACACAGACACACACAC